ACATTATCAAGCCATAGCTTTACCCATCTTCATCCATCCATCCTTTTTCATTCACATGTACGAAAACTCCCAACAGGGAACTTGATTTTCAGCATTGTTTTTCTTTCAAAAATAATCATTGGTCTTAGTTTGGCACCATCAGCTGTACATGCTAGTACCACTGTAAAACTGGACTTCTCATGTCCTGTTGTTTTAATTAACACTGTTTTTGCACCTTTTTGGATTAACAGTTTTATTTCCAACCGTATCGAAATTCATAGGAGTTTCATTCATATTTCCGATCTGACTTAATGCATAGCCATGTTTCTTACGCTGTTATATTACATATTGATGGAAAAGACTTACTTTGCTGTCAAGATCTGCAGGTAATTTTTGTGCAATTTTGGTCTTTTGCCTCAGTACCAGATTGTGCCTTTCCAAGAACCGAGTACTCCAGGATACAGTGGCCTTAAATCCTTTACTGTTATCTGGGTTAGATTTGGCCCACTGAAGTGCAAACATACGTATTTTGTTTCGTGTCACTACATAGCCATTTTGATGATGCTCAAGAACCATGTCTGCTACATGCTTTTCGAGTTCTGGCCAATAAGGGGTGCCTCTTCTTAATGCACACTTACTCCTTGGCATACTCTTTAATGCATCTTCATTTGCTTTCCAGTCTCGGACCATCTTTTCTGTTACTCCATATTGTCTTGCCGCAGCACAGTAATTGTGTTCCTTGGCAAAGTTTACAACTTTCAGTTTGAAACTGGCTTCAAATTTCCTTCTTCTTGCTGGAGCCATGATGGGTTCTGTTCTACCAGCCATTTGTTGTACACCCACTAATCTTTTAGGCCGGGGTTATACAGTACTGTAGCTTCAGCTGCACACAGAATGTTCTATTACGGTACCTTTTAACTCACTGTATGTGTCCTGATACAGCAGCTTTGGCTACACAGAACATTCCTGTGCTGCAACTGTATGTACCACAGTGAGCCAATCACAACAAGCAAAGGTTCAAAGGTTATAATAGACCGCCTCTCTGACTCTGGCCATTCTGAGCAGGCTTTTTACTAGAACACAGTGTAGCTTCAGGTACAGAACATGTATAATTTGCATGCATAAAAAGCCTGCTTGGATTGGCTGAGTTAGAGAGGCGATCTGAGCAGCCTTGCAGTGATTGGTGCGGGATCAAGTTGGAAAATTCATTTAGCGGCATATCGAGACATTTTTTGGGATATACTCGGCGTATAAGATGACGACCCCCCCCCCATTTTTTCGTTTCAAAAGTCGTCTTATACGCCAGAAAATACGGTATAAAAACACTCCACAACATATTAAGGTAATTAATCTTTTCTTATTAATGTGGTTATAAATATTTTTCCCTGTTTGTCTTTTTTTTAATATATATTTTATTGATTTTTTACAGAGAAGAAGGTAGAGGGATAGAGAGCTAGAAACATCGATGAGAGAGAGACATGGATCAGCTGCCTCCTGCACACCCCCCACTGGGGGTGTGCCCGCAACCAAGGTACATGCCCTTGACTGGAATCGAATCTGGGACCTCTCAGTCCGAAGGCCGATGCTCTATCCACTGAGCCAAACCGGTTTCGGCAACTTTGTCTTTTTTTTCTTGCAGAAATTTTGTGCACATAAAATTACTCAAAATATTGCATGATATCTTTATGAATTTAAAAATTTTGAGCTATGCTTAGAAAAGGTTTTTTTTTCTTTTTATCCAATATTTTATTTTAAAGTATTCATCCAAAATCATTATTTGGTGCCCTAACCAGGTTGCTCAATTGGTTACAGTGTCATCCCTTGCACCAAGAGGTTACCAGTTCAGTTCCAAGTCAGGCGCGTTGCAGGCTTAGTCCCCAGTAGGATGTGCAGGAGGCAGCCAGTTGATGTTTCTTTCTCCCTTTCCCTTTCTCTTTCTCTCAAAAAAAAAGAAAAATAAATAAGTAAATAAATAAAAATATTTTTAAAATAAGAGAAAATGTATCAGTTTTAAAATAAATAAAAATTAAAAATGTTTTTAAAAATGTTATGGATACTTCTATTCAATTTACTAACTGATTGAAAAATACTTTCATGTTTCTTAGAGGCAATTGTGTAACTAGTTATTTACATTCTTGATGCTATTAACTTTCATAATGTTACAAATAGCATCTCACATTAATTTAGCATTGTAATATGTGATGAATTCTTTTTTGTAGCTTATATAATTTAATTTAACCATTACAACAATCCTTTGAAAAAGTACCATTTTTACATTTTCAGATGAGAAAACTTAGACACAGAAAAATTTAATTAGTTGCACAAGGTTACACACTTAGGAAATAAAACCTAGATTGAAAATCAGGAACTCTGGATTTTTATTTTGGCTTTACAGAACTAGCTTGTTGCAGATTCATTCCACCAAGAACAACTACAAATCAAAACAAAATATATTAAAAAAAAAAATCTGTTTGGCATATGAGACTGACCAAGGGAGCCATGAAATCAGAAGCCACCACCCTGAAGTAAAGGGAAGCCTAGGGAAGTCTGCCTTAGGTGTGCCCTGACCAGACAATGAACATCCATTCTCTCAGTGCATTGGACAATAGTCAGCTAACTGAGCCACAGGCAGACCAGGCAACCAAACCAAATTATTCAAAACCAAGAGATCTAGGTGATGGAATTATCAGACTCACGCTGTAAAAATAACAGATAAATATGTTCAGAAATTTTTTTTAAAGATGAAAAACTTCAGCAGAGAATTAAAAACAATGAAAAGGAATCATAAATATTTTTATGATGAATGGTGAACATTTTCAAACTTTAAATTTTCATTCTTAAAAAAAATATATATATATATATATATTAATTATTGATTTTTTACAGAGAGGAAGGGAGAGGGATAGAGAGTTAGGAACATCGATGAGAGAGAAACATCAATCAGCCTGCACATACTGGAGATGTGTCCGCAACCAATGTACATGCCCTTGACTGGAATCGGACCTGGGACCCTTTAGTCCATAGGCTGACTATCCACTTGAGCCAAATCAGCTAGGGCAAAATTTTCACTCTTAATGGAGATTTAAGAATTTAACAGATGAGTTTATCAGCAAATTAGATAGATAACATTACTTTTTTTTTTCTTTTTTGAGAAAGTAAGTGGAGAGAATTTCCCATCAGCTGACTTGTACTTAAGGAAAGGACAGAAAGGGTAAATTTGTGGGGTATATATAAATGTCTTGTGGAATTTAAGTTATATATATAGATAATTAATATACTTAAAAGCACAAAGATGGAGCAAGAATAAATGGTGTTAGTGTTATACAGTTCTTTAATTGTCTGGACGATGTGTAAAGTACTTACTTAATTCCTATAGGGTAATCTCTGGAATAATCACTAAAAGAATAGTGACATAATACTATCTAATAAAGAGGTAATATGCAAATTGACCATCACTCCAACATAAGATGGTGCCACAAGGTGGCAAGGAGAGGAGGGCAGTTGGTGACCAGGCCTGCAGGGGAGGGCAGTTGGAGGGGACAAGGTCTGCAGGGGAGAGCAGTTGGGGGTGATCAGGCCAGCAGAGGAGGGCAGTTAGGGGTGATCAGGCCTGCAAGGGAGGGCAGGGGGTGAACAGGTCTGCAGGGTAGGGCAGTTAGGGGCAATTGGGCTAGCAGGGGAAGACAATTAGGGGTGACTAGACTGGCAAGGGAGGAAAGTTATGGGCAATCGGGCTGGCAGTGCAGTGGTTAGGGGGTGATCAGGCTGGCAGGCAGAAGCGGTTAGGGGCAATCAGGCAGGCAGGCAGGTGAGTGGTTGGGAGCCAGCAGTCCCGGATTGTGAGAGGGATGTCTAACGACCGGTTTAGGCCCGATCCCTGTAAACCGGCAGTAGGACATCCTTTGAGGGGTCCCAGATTGGAGAGGGTGCAGGCCGAGCTGAGGAACATGGACCCCCCCCCCCCCTTGTGCATGAGTTTCATGCACCGGGCCACTAGTTCTTTATGAAATAATTCTACAGCCAAAACCGGTTTGGCTCAGCAGTAGAGCATCCGTCTGCGGACTGAAAGTTCCCAGGTTCGATTCTGGTCAGGGGCATGTACATTGGTTGCGGGTACATCCCCGGTAGGGGGTGTGCAAGAGACAGCTGGTCGATGTTTCTCTCTCATCGACGTTTCTAGCTCTCTATCCCTCTCATCTCTCTCTGAAAAATCAATAAAATATATTAAAAAATAATTCTACAGAAGTAGTTGGAGAATCTTGTCAGTACCTTTGCTTTGTATGACAGTCTGTTATACATTGACTAAACAACATAGATTGGAGAAACTTAAAAGACATTAGTTTTCTTCTGCCTCTAATGTTTCGCTTAGCTTTTAGGAAGTCACATTACTTTTTGTCAAACTGAAGGAGGAAATTAAAAATGTTGACTCAAATCTGAACCACCCAAAATTAGTTTCCCTAGACAACCAAAGTTGGTGTAATTCTAGACTAAATTTAGAGTCCTACCCATATGTTAGTGGGTACATTTGTATCTGTGGAACGTTCTCTGCCTTTCAAAAATGACTAGATTTAAAGAGGGCTTTTCTTTTGGATTTCTTTTTCCTTTAGAACATGGGAAAATGAAATTTGTCATAGTTAATTTGGTGGGTAGTGTTATCCTTTTTCTCTGTGTTGAATATAGAGCTTGATTCTTGGAATTTTGAAATAATCTTATACAATTTACCTGATGTGAACAAAATTATATAAGTTTTTGTAATTTAAGTAATAACTTTTTCATAGCAAGTCATCCAACTTGGATTTTCAAGGGACGAAACTATCAGAGATGGGAGACAAAACTCATTAATTGTAGTTTCACTTCTGTATTCATTACTGTTCTTTTCGTTTCTCTTTGAACAGGTTGTCCTTTCAACAGTGTTTGATGAACTACAGGAACATGGTTTTACTTGAGTGATTGTCTTAAATGAAAAGATGTGGGAAACTTAAATACCACATTAATGATAACCATGTTGTATTGTTTAATAGGCAGTGAAATCAGCTGTGCAGACCATCACTGTTGGAGGTGTGGGCACATCACAGTTTAAGACAATTATTCCTCTGGCAACTGCTCCAAATGTCCAGCAGATCCAAGTGCCTGGAAGCAAGTTTCACTATGTCCGACTTGTTACTGCCACAACGGCCAGTAGCTCAACCCAGCCAGTTAGTCAGAATCCTAGTACAAACACTCAGCCTCTTCAGCAAGGTTAGTAATCGTTTTTTAAAATAGTAATTAATGCTAATGCTTTGAACATTATTAAAAAACATCAGTCATTTTCTTGTTGGTCTGATTAATTATGGCATTTCAGCTGACAGTTTGAATTAGGAAGCAGTGAAATAGAATCAGTTGTATATGACTATAGAGTATTTCATTCTGCTAGAAGTTGGTACACAGTGTGCTATGGTACCAGATAATCATAATTACTCATTAGTTTGCAGTTGACCATTTTATTGTTAGTTTAAAAGCCTACCACATATGCCAGTTAGATAAATTTAGATGGAACCAAATTATTTATCTTATTTCTAAACTATGAAGATGTTTGATACAGTTTGGGTGAGTTGAAATGATCAGTAGGCAAGGTATAAATGATAAGTAAAAATGTATGTCACTTTCATTATTTTGAATCTGTAATTGCTAATAAAAAGTAATTAAAATATGTTTATATTTTGCTCAGTTGTATTTTTTTCTGGAGGGTATTCTTGTTTATAGTCCTTCCATTTTCTGTTTGTGTTTAATCTTTTCTGCCACCTGAAATACAGACCCACACTCAACCTTTCTCCATATTTAACTACTCAAAAATTGAATGGTTTGAAAGGATTAGGACAGTTTATAGCTCAATATGTCATTCCAAGGGCTTGATTTCCTAAGAGTGATTTATTTATGCAAGAGAGAATTGGGCTCAATTGTACATTTTCCCACTAAAGCCATACATAAACTTGTACATTTTCCCACTAAAGCCATATATAAACCAGTATTCAAAGGCTGCATACTATTAATTGCTGCCTGGATGGCAGACAGCACTGTAGAAAGACCAAAAGAGTGCTTGTTCAACCTTTTTAGGATATAATCTCCTACCACCTTGGTGAAGGAGGAAATCAGTTTAAGAAATTAAAGCCTTAAGAACTTGTTGGTATGGTTTCTGAAGTTTGCAAGGGGCTTTTCTAAAAGATTGTTCAGAATTCCTGTTAAAAACAAAAAGATTATGTCAGCTTCTGTGAAAACTGCAGTAGAAACAAGACTGCTCTAAAGTGAAAGAGAAGGAGAGATGGGGTCTGCTCACTGAGAAGAACATTAACATGACCCCCCTCCCTAGGTAATTTAGAAGTGTTCTGTTTTCTTCATTCCCCAGCTTTCTGTTAAAACGCAGAATGCAGATGCCAAGCTAATGGAACCCTAGCGTTTCCAAAGTTTCCAGTTCTGTGTGTGCTCAAGCGCAGGGACAATTATCCTTTCTTTGTTCTTCAAATAATCATCAGCGTTTGAGGACCAACCACACACCTCTTCCTCATTATTTCACAGACCACTAGGAACTTCTTGCGTACTTTGTTGTTGGACTCGCTTCAGGATTGCTGCTCTGTGTACAAGTGATATAGGGAGCCCACTCTTCTGTGTCCAAGCATGAATTCAGGCTTTTAATTCCTTATAGTATTGCTGATACCAGTCAACAGTGGTTATTACAATTTTTCTAAAAGATAAAGTGACTGAGGATAATCAAACAGAACAGGAAACTTTCAAATCCGTATCAGATGTCACTGCTCCTAAATTCATGGTCATAAACTCTTTGTATAGCAACTTAATTGAGATACTAGAAACCTGATGCACGAAATTCTTCCTGCAAGAGTAGGCCTGCCTTCCCCCAGCTGCTGGTCTCAGCTTCATCTGGAAGGTTGTCCAGTCTGATTAGTATATTAATGCTTTTATGATTATAGATAATTCATATGTATTTTAAAGTTCACCCTTGCTAAGCATACCATCTAGTGGCTTTTTGTATATTCAGAGATATGCAGTCATCATCACTAACTGTCCTCCTTCCCCCTTCTTCCTGGTTTGCCACCTTGCTACAGGGGCCTGCTCCCTTTTAGGTCTGAGTTCTCTAATGTTCTTGCAGGACTCTCCACTTTTCCTCTTCAGCCATCATTCCTCTCAACCTTTCTATCAAAGGAAGTCTTTTTTTTCTTTTTCTTTTTCTTTTACAGTTCAGAGTAGTTTAGATCCTATTATCTCAACTTCCCTTTCAGACCAGGATAGATCATTTGCCTAAGTAAAAACGGCTATCTTTCTAAATCCCTTTTTTAGACTATGGAAGTGGTGATAATAGCACACATTGTATTTCTTTAAGCCCAGTGCCAGTCCTGGACATAATAGGTGTACTGGCAGGCCTGAATTTTACCATAGCATTTCTCTATGTCAGGTTTCATTTTCCTTTTAAATCTGCTCATCCTTGTATTTTTAGTTTTAATAGCTGTCATTTTCCCAGTCACTTGAAAGCTTAGCAAAGACTTTTCTTCCCTAATACCTGCAATTCTACCATCCAAATGGTGGATATATTCATGCTCCTTTCACCTCTGTCATGTCTCTGCAGCTGTTCTCTTCTTTCCATTTCCAGCACTGTCACCCCCAGATTAGACCCTCATTTGTTGCATTCTTTTTAATTTTTCTTGTTTTTTTGTGTGTTGTTGTTTGTGTTTTGTTTTGTTTTGTTTTGTTTTGCAATTCCATTCTGTTTTACGCATTGCTTTCAAATGCAGTTTCTTTTTGTGCTATTCCAAATAATATTTCTGTAGTACTTCAGAATTCTTAGAAATTTCTCATTGCCTACTGAATTAAAAACAGACTTCTACCTTAACATTCAAGATCTTCAAAACTTGCAATCTGCCTTTTTGCTTGTGCTTGCCTACTTTAACCCTTGGTTCCAACCAAACTGGTCTGTTCACCAATATTTTTGTGAAATGCTTTGCAGCTTCCCAGCATTGAGCTCCACTTCTCATGCTTCTGCCCTGCATGGAATGTCCTCCTCCATGCTGTGTGCCTTCTCTGCAACCTGTCCACTGGTCAGGACCTGTCTCAGGACACTGTCCTCAGTGCATTCTTTCCATACTCCCATCCTCTGCCAATCACATGTATGTTCTGTCTCATTTGAATTCCCATAGCACTTCCTTTTTTAACAGGATTTGTTTTATTTGGGTATTGTCTAATCTGCTCTACTTAATGTAATGTCTTTGAGCAGGTGTCTTGTACTTTAGTTTTCCTGGGATGCTGTCCACAATGCCATTTATATAGTAGTAATGTTTGTAGTAATAACAACAATGGCATCTAACATTTATTAAGCACTTAACTATTTGTTGGACAATATTTTCATAAATTTTTATGAGTTAACATATTTAATCTTATATCTTTTAAAGGAGTTAACTATCTCCATATTGCAGATGGAGATGCAGACAAAGAGAGTTTAAGTAGTTGGGAAGAAGCAGAATTGGGATTTGAATCTCTAGGGTCAGATGATTTATGAGCCCACACATATTCTTTTTTTTTTAAACCTATTTAAAAAAATATATATTTTTATTGATTTCAGAGAGGAAGCAAGATAGAAACATCAGTGATGAGAGAGAATCGTTGATTGGCTGCCTCCTGCATGCTCCCTACTGGGGATTGAGCCCGCAACCTGGGCTTGTGCCCTTGATTGGAATTGAACCTGGGACCCTTCAATCCCCAGGCCAGATGCTCTATTCACTGAGCCAAAACAGCTAGGTTGCCCACACATACTATATTCTTAACCTTACTACCTTCTAGTAGGTACTTTGTAAATAATGACTATACAAGAATGATATTTTCTTTGGTTTGAATATAAACACAGCAATTAGAAATAGTACAGAATAGCATTGTTACCCAAGCTCCTGAATGGCAGCTATTTATGCAATATTTTATCTGACTATTTTTAGTAGTGAATGTATAAATCATCTGCATACACACTGAAGTATTTTTAGAAGAATGTTTTAAATGAGAAGCATTCTCTTATCAAGTGACTATAGCTACCAAGTAGATGGGTTAAGGAATTTTGATAAAAGTTTCTTGGTAGATGGTTTAGGATTGCTCCAAATAAGAAGCAGGTTGGAATTCTTTAAGCTCTTTCATGAGGCTATCCTGAGAGAGCTAAGTACCTTAAATGTTTTAAATATTATTGTATGGAAGTAAATTGTCCCCTTTTCCCCCTTTTTAAAAAAGCAAAGCCCGTGGTTAGCACCACTCCAGTGCGGATGTCAGTTCCACTTACACAGACTGTCAAACAAGTGAGTATCACATAACTTCTTTTCTCTGTATTTCCCAAACAGACAATTTACTTTTATAATTGAAAGTTAAGATATTTTTTTTTAAAAATTAAGCTTTGGCCAGTTTTATTAGAGAAAAATTTTGCCTGACTTACTTTTCACCAGTCTATTCTGGCATGCTTCTAATGTTACAGAATCACCTGGATCAGTGATAGCAGTGTGCACAGTCTTCACAGGCTGTGCCCAGCTCAGTCACTGCCACTGTAGTGAGGACACCAGGCTTGGCCAACATGGCGTAGTGCTCTATTTCAGATTTCCTAAGGCTGGACAGTTGCTGGCGAGGGTGACCAGTTTTATTTTGCTTGTCTGACCATTTTTAGAGGCTACTTGTACCCCAGCACATACTTCCCAGTTTCCATAACAAGTTATAGCCTAGAGTTGATTGATTCCAGCCATTTTAAAAAATATATACATAGATATTTTATTGATTTCAAAGAGGAAGGGAGAGGGGGAAAGAGAAATATCACTGATGAAAAAGAATCATTGATCAGCTGCCACCTGCATTCCCCCCACCAGGGACTGAGGCCACAATTTGGGCATGTGCCCTGACCAGGAATTAAACCTTAACCTCCTGGTTCATAGGTCGACACTCAATCATCAAGTCACACTGGCTGGGCAGCTTTTTAATCTTCTTTGTTGCTACCATCTTCCTGCCTTACCCGTGGGTGAAAGTTAAGATTTAAATATAAGAGATGTATACTGAATTGGAAAATTATAAAATTTATCTTTGTAATTACTTGATCTTTCTTTTTTTAGGTTGTTCCAAAACCAATTAATCCAACTTCACAAATCGTTACTACTAGCCAGCCACAGCAACGGCTCATCATGCCTGCCACCCCACTGCCACAGATCCAGCCAAACCTCACTAACCTGCCGCCAGGCACGGTGCTGGCACCGGCTCCAGGGACAGGGAATGTGGGTTATGCAGTGCTTCCAGCTCAGTATGTCACTCAGGTATGAGGCAAAAATGAAGTCATTGCATTTCCTAAAGGATATTAGGTCTAAGATGTTTAGCATTGTCACATTTTGAAAATGACTCAAACCATCTAACTTAGTATTAAGATAGCTCTTTCCAAAGTCTTAAAATGTTAATGAAAACTTCTGAGTTTATTTTTGTGTATTTTTAGCACTGAGAAATATAAAGCACAAGTCAAATATATAAGTCAGACAATTTGGAGCTGAGAGTAGGTTGATGAGAAGATCATCTATACTATTATAATAAAAGGGTAATATGCTAATTAGACTGGGACAACGGGATATCCAACTTCCTTCCAGACAAAGCCATGGTGGCAGAGGCTGAGACAAAGGTAGTTAGGGGCAACCAGGCCGGCAGAGGAGCAGTTAAGTGGCGGCCAGGTTGTCAGGGGAGCAGTTAGGGGACGCTCAGACCTGCAGGGGGGCAGTTAGGGGGCAGCCAGACTGGTAGGGTGGCAGTTAGGGGATGATCAAGCTGGCAAGCAGAGGCAGTTAGGGGCAATCAGGCAGGCAGGTAAGTGGTTAGGAGTCAGTGGTTCTGGATTGCAAGAGGGATGTCTGACTGCCAGTTTAGGCTCCATCCTGCAGTGGTAGTCAGACATCTCCTCAGGGGTTATGGATTGGAGAGGATGCAGGCCGGGCTGAGGGACACTAATTTTGTGCACCGGGCCTCTAGTACAGATAAAAGAGAAAAGATGAAGTTAAAAATTATCAGAGTCCGAATAAATTCAGAAAGGACTGTGACCCTAATAAAGTTCTTCTTCACCTATGAATATAATGTCACTGATTTATTCTTGGAAAATAGATTGTTAGATGGGTTTCGAGGTGACATGTCTTGAGTGATCTGTCCAGACTCATTTGGTCAATCTTTATTTATTTATTTATTTTTAAAAATATATATTTTATTGATTTTTTGCAGAGAGGAAGGGAGATCTGAGATAGAGAGCTAGAAACGTCGATGAGAGAGAAACATCGACCAGCTGCCTCTTGCACACCCCCCACCGGGGATGTGCCCGCAACCAGTGTACATGCCCTTGACTGGAATCAAACCCAGGACCCTTCAGTCCGCAGACCGACGCTCTACCACTGAGCCAAACCGGCTTCGGCTCATTTGGTCAATCTTTAAATCAAAGCCAAAGATTACCCAGTTGGCTGGCTTGGATTAGGAGTACTGCTTCTAGGAAGCAGTTTTCTTTTTTCAGGTCAGAGTCAATCAGATTTGCTCGGTTGGTCGGTATTGTTCAGTGGTTGAGCATTGACCCATGAACCAAGAGATCACTGGTTTCTTATGCCAGGACACATGCCCAGGTTTTGGGCTTGATCCTCAGAAGGGGCTGTAAGGAGGCAGCCAGTCGATGTTTCTCTCTCGTCAAAGTCTTTCTCTATTCCTCTCCCTTCCTCTCTAAAATCAATAAAAACAATTTAAAAAGTTAGGAGTCAATCAAATTAGTACCATGTTCTAAGCTACTGAATTGTTGATTTATTCAGCTTGTAAGAGGAGAAACAGAAACCTATCTGTACTTTAATGAAATGTACTTTGGAGTATGGTATGTGGCTGCTAATTTTAAAATACCATTAATGTTCAATATTTTTATCATTAGCATATCTTTTATGTTTGAAATCAGTATAAAATAGAAACTTAATTATTGTGCATGTTACTTCTCATTTTCTGTAACTTGCAATGTGATGAATGATCAATATAGTAAGTTTTATTTATAAGTAGATACATTGTATTTTTTTAGTCATTACACTAGATTACAGTACTTTTAGGGAATTTTCTAATTCTAATAAGATACTCCTCTATGAAAAATTTATTATATTTGTACCATGTTGTACTTTCAAATGTTCACTTTGTTTTTACCTCTAATATTAGTTTGGATCTTTAGAAAAGCTGCCTTGAGGTAGTATGTTTGCTTGAGATTTTTCATTCTATTTTTTCTTTTTTAATAAATGAATTTGTGCTCTTCACTGATAATTATACCTGCGAATATTGCCCATTTTTGTAAATATGGTCTAAAATTATCTTTCTTTATATGTAGCTACAGCAGTCTTCGTACGTGTCTATAGCAAGCAACTCTAACTTTACTGGTACATCAGGTGTCCAGACCCAGGCAAGGCTTCCATTCAATGGGTGAGTGTTTGGAAAATATGTAAGTTAAATTGTTAGATCAGGTTAAATGCAACATTAAATATATATATTTCAGAATACATTTATTTTATTTTTTCCCCCCTTAAAGCTATGTGAGATAGTCAAAAGAACTCCCATGTATTTTATTTGAGGGCCATCCCTTGAGATGCCTATTCTAATTTTGTCATAGCCAATACTGTATCAGTACCAACCCAAGGGTTCCTTCTCTCCCACAGAGGCCCTCCACCTCCACCATCATTCCCACACATTGTCTTGCCACCAAGTATGAATAATGGTATTTCTACTTCTCCCCTACAAACCAAGCTTTCTTCTCAGAATGAGTTTCCAGCTGAGTCTGGAGGCCTCTGGAGTTTTCCCAGAAATGATGTCAAGGAGGTGAAGGGGAGGTCTTGGTGATATGTGGGTGGACTTACTAAATTTTAAGAATCATTTATTTATTTTTTAAAAATTTTATTGATTAAGGTATCACATATTTGTCCTCAACCCCCCCATTGCAACCCCCAACCCCTCCTCACTCATGCCCCTACCCCCCTTTGTCCTTGACCACTGGTTAGGCTCATATGTATGCACAAAAGTCCTTTGGTTGATCTCTCCCTTTTATCCCCACCCTCCCTCTGAGGTCCAGCAGTCTGACCCATGGCTTCTTATATCTGGGTCTGTTTTTGTTCATTTGTCTATGTTGTTCATCATTTCCCTTAGATGAGTGAAATCATGTCCTACTAGAAATATAAGAATTGAAAATAAGACAAGCAATAATGGTTATGCTGAAAGGCAAATGAATCAGTCTGTAATGAGTTTCTTTCTGGGCCAAGGAATAATGTATTTTATTTTTATGTATTAAATATATTAGTAGCTCTTCAAGAGAGAGAGAGAGAGAGAGAAATCCCAACTTTCTTTTTCTTGGATATACTAATTTTTCTACATGCTTTATCCTTTCTTTGTCCTCCCTCTTTTCTCCTTTTCCCACCCTGAATATATTTTTTAAAGGATATTGGTTTTTATTTTATTTTATTTTATTTATTTATTTATTTATTTATTTATTTATTTTTTAAAATATATTTTATTGATTTTGTACAGAGAGGAAGGGAGAGAGATAGTTAGAAACATCGATGAGAGAGTCATCGATCAGTTGCCTCTTGCTCACCCCCTACTGGAGATATGCCTGCAACCAAGGTACATGCCCTTGACCGGAATCGAACCTGGGATCTTTCAGTCCCCAAGCCGATGCTCTATCCATTGAGCCAAACTGGTTTCGGCAGGATATTGGTTTTTAAATTGTTATGTTGGGTCCTTGCCTTTTTTTTTTTTTTTTTAACCTGTTGTTTGTTGCCTTTGCAGTGTTGGATGGAACTAGTCTACCTCTCCCTCCCCTCCAAAATTCCAGCCCCATGTGCTCTTCTACTCACTACCTTTTATAATTAAGTCTGAAAAGTTTTGGAATGATTTAAACTTTAGTTCTCTGAAGGAAGAGTATTTGTTGTGGAATGTTCTGTAGAAGTTATTAATAATGTCCTTTTTTTTTTAGGGTTTTTTATTGACTTTGAGAGAGAGAGGAAGGAAGAGAGAGAGAGAGAAATATCAATGTGAGAGTGCACACCCCTCTCCCCCGCTCCCCTTTGGGATCGAGCTTGAAACTTGGGCATGTGCCCTGATCAGGAATAAAACTGACAACATTTGGTGCACGGGGATGATGCTAAACCAACTGAGCCACACCAGTCAGTTAATATCTCCCACCCCACCCCACCTCATATCTTGACTCTCTGCCTGTTTTCATTTTACAAGTTGCTTTTTAACTTAATGTGAATGGAACATCATAGCAAACTTTTATTAAAGACTAGAGCCCTGGTGCATGAAACTCATACACGGGTAGGATCCATAGGCCTGGCTGGCGATCAGGGCCTATGTGGGGGGGGGGGGGGGGGGCTTTCAGCTGCCTGCCAGGCCTTCCTTCCCAGGCTGCCAGTTGCCAGTTGGGGCCTTTTTTCATTCTGCACTGCCCCTTGGTGGTCAGTGCTCATTATAGCAAGCATTCGAACTCCCAATCTCCCAAACTCCCCAGGGGACAATTTGCATGTTAGGCTTTTTATATATATGTAGATTTATACATTTGTTAAAGTTTTGTCTTAGGAGGAATTTACAGGTCGGGGACTTTACTAATTTTAATACTTTTAACTGATTAAAACGTGTATCTTTTTTTGTGTGTCTGTATAGTATAATCCCATCAGAGTCTGCAAGTCGACCCAGAAAGCCCTGTAATTGTACAAAATCGCTGTGTTTGAAATTGTAAGTCTTTTTACTACTGTTTCCTCATTTGATATACCCAAAAATGCTTTTAAAAATAAATGTAGTTAACTAAAATTTCTTTATAGACCAATTCCATAAGTCTAAGTAATTGAAAGAAACAAACAAGTGTGAATGTTTGAGAGTATGATAGTGTGAAAATACTGTTTCATTCATTCAGAAAAAAATAATTGTAGGGTCTTGACCATAGATGAGGCACAGGAGTAGGAGTTAGGGAAATAGCATCAGGAGAGAGACATATTCTCTGTCCTCATTAATAATAAATTTGATCTTATTTATGATCTTGGTCATTTGGTCTCTTGAATGAGGTGATACTCTGAGTAGTTTTAAAATTAATGAATGATTAATTTGCCTATTAGTAATGAACTAAGAGATTTGACATGAAACAGTTACATGAAAAGCATTGGTCATGCTGGAGTTAGAATCCAAAGAAGCAAAGCAGTAGTTCAAGCAAGCAGGTTCCACTAACAATATAATTCTTATTTCTCCTTTTTTGTGATTTTGAAATAACTTACTTAGGGGACACACAAAATCATGTAGCTCTAGTGTTGACAGCTGTTATTACTGAAACTAAGCTTCTAAAGTAAAATTCTAGGAGCCAGTGATTTTAATTTTGAGCTTTATCATGTAGTTGATAATATATGTTAACACTAGGTAGCCATGACTACATTTCTAAAATGTTTTTTCATGTATATAAGGCTATTAAATCAGATAATTCATAGTTTCGTTTATTTTAACAGTGACTTTTTAAATATAACTTACACCAACTTTTATATTCCAGATATTGTGATTGCTTTGCAAATGGTGAATTTTGCAACAACTGCAATTGTACTAATTGTTATAATAATTTGGAACATGAAAATGAAAGACAAAAGGCAATAAAGGTGATTATTTTTTATTTTATTTAACAAAAATTTAGTTTTCACCTGTTTTATGTGGAACTCTTTGTTTTACAAGGAAAATTAATTCCTCTTTGCAGTATTTAAATTTTAATTTCCTGTGATTTAACATCAGTTGGTATGTGCTCTGTTTTGATAGGCATGCCTTGACAGAAATCCAGAAGCTTTTAAGCCTAAAATAGGAAAAGGAAAGGAGGGAGAATCAGATCGACGTCACAGCAAAGGATGTAATTGCAAACGCTCAGGATGTCTTAAAAACTACTGTGAATGCTATGAGGTGAGATGCTGGCTGGGGAAAATAATGTAGCCATCTTTTGAAAATCACATTAGAAAGAGCATACTATGAAATTTCAATGGAAAATTGAGAGATTACTTTGCTATTGCAATTTGAAAATATGCATAGTTGGCCCAAAGGCCCTCATTTGAGGAAGACCTTCTGGCCTCCCAAGCAAGGCTGAGGGAGCAAAACAGGCCTACCTCGTTTTATTGCACCTAGCTTTACTGTGCTTCACAGATGTTGAGGGTTTTGTGGTGTTTTTGTTTTGTTTTTTTTTACAAATTAAAGGCAAAACAGTCCACAAGAAAAAGATTATAACTGGCTTGCAGTGGTCTGGAACCAAATTTGCAAGGTATGCCTGTGCCTTAGTTTTGTCATCACAGCTTGGGATCTCATTAGCTGCTTTACCAGTTGATAACTTCTTGATCACTATACACGAAAGTATGCAAGTCAGAGCACCAGTTTATTGATTGTCAATAAAAATAATAACATCAGAGTGGATTGGAAACTCTATAGTGGTTCTCAGCTGAAGGTCAGTACTACCTAGTCTGTCCCCATGGGCTTTTTGGAATATATATATATATATATATATATATAGGTACAAAATAGCCTGCATTTCAGGGTATAGTCCTGAAAATAAAGATTTATTTTGACCAAGTGTCAATAGTGACTATTGAAGAACACTACTCTATGGAAAAGTAGATTACGTTAAAAAGTTTGCTTTTTTAACATAAAAACAGGAAATGAGGAATGTAAAATATTGTTGAAAAAAGTTATAGGTCATTGTGAAGTGATTGCATCTGTTTTTACTCTTCATCGCCCACTCAACTGGCTGTTTTTATTTATGAATCAGGAATCTTTTTTTTTTTTTTTTATCCTCAACCAAGGATATGTTTTTATTGACTTTTATAGAAAGAGTAAGGGAGGAAGGAAAGGAGAGATGAGGGGGAGGGGAAACGTCCATCCATTACCTCCCACATATTCCCCAATGGGATGGAGCAACCATCTTTCGGTGCATGGGAAGACACTCCAACCAAATGAGCCACCCAGCCAGGACCCAGGCATCTTTTCTGAAGAATGTAATTGAAACTCTTCTTTGATAGATGCCATGTAAACCATCCTCCTGCTTCAAAGAAAGTACTATATAGTTTATTATTTTTCTTTTCAAAGAAAATACAAGAATCAAATCATTCCAAGATTAGTTTCTCTTTCCCGTCCTCCCTCCATTCTTTTCTCCTTCCCTCCCTTTATTTTTATTTTTTCTTTGTTAGAGAGAGAGAGAAACATCAATGTGAAAGAGAAACATTGATTGGTTACCTCCTGTTTGTGCCTCCACTGGGGATCGAACCAACAGCTTGGGTATATGCCCTGCCCAAGAATTGATCCTGCAAACTTTTGGTATTTCTGACGATGCTCCAACCAACCCAGCCATCTGGCCAGGTCTGTAATTGGTTTCTTGGTGCACCTGAAACTCTTTAATAGGAATCTTTGGACACACACACACACACACACACACACACACACACACATATATTTTACTGTTTTTTAAAGAGAGGAAAGGAAAGGGACAGAGAGTTAGAAACATCGATGAGAGAGAAACATTGATCAGCTGCCTCCTGCACAACCCCACTAGGGATGTGTGCCTGCAACCAACGTACATGCCCTTGACTGGAATCGAACCTGGGATCCTTCAGACCGCAGGCCGATGCTTTGAGCTAAACTGGTTTCGGCACATCTGGTATATTTTTATACTTTCAAATTTCACTATATTTTTAGTTTTGGCAGAAGGCCTTGCACTTGGTCAGGTAATACCACCAAGATTGCACTCTCCCCTAATAAGGTTTGCTATATTCCAAGAGTATGCAAGGTTTGTGTACTGCTCTGGACAGTGTGGTTCACTTGGTGAGCACTGTCCCATGCAACCAAAGGTCACTGGTTTGACTCCTGATCAGGGCACATGCCTGGGTTTTGGGCTTGATCTCTAATAGGGCGCATGCAGGAGGCAGACGATTGATGATTCTCTCTCATCATTGATATCTATCTCTTCAACTTCCTCTTTCTCTAAAAATCAATTTAAAAAACATAGATTTTTTTAAAAAAAAAGATTTGTGTACTGAATTCCTCATTTATGTATTGCATAGGTCAAAAATATCACTCAGGAAATATAGGAAAGTAAATTTTGTTAGTCCTAAAACCAGTGTGAGTGAAAATAGCGTATAATCAAGATTGTTTTTTAAAGTCTCTTAAAATCTTGAGTCCAACAAGCCAGATTTTCATTTGGTGTTGGAAGAGATTGACTTTTTAAATTTTATTTTATGTTTTTATTGATGTTAGAGAGAAACATCAATGATGAGAGAGAAGCATTGATTCGCTGCCTCCTCCTGGGGATCAAGTCCACAACACAGGCATTGTGTCCTGACTGGGAATCGAACTGTGACCTCCTGGTTCATGGTTCAAAGTTTAGCCACTGGGCCACACTGGCTGGGCTTGACTCTTATTTGTTGTTTGAACACCTGATCAAATAGGCTTCTGCTAGTAAACCATATCATATAAAAATTATCTTGAATATGTTAATTTGTAAGCCATAAAACCAAGTCCACAAAAAGAGAGATATTGGAAATTGATGTAAAGCTAGGTCAGAAAGACATAGAAACCCTTTTGTTGGTGTGTCAGTGAACAATCAATACATGCTATTTGGACAGATATGAACTAATCATTTAATTGAGTTGTTTAGCAAATCTGTGAATCAATCAAAGTAGAAAAGGCAATAGACTAGTTGAAATATGTTAGAAGAGAGAAAGCTTCCCTATCCTATATGCTGAAAGCGTAATATGCTAAGAGTCCGACTGTTCGTTCCACCATTCTACCAGTTGCTATGGTTCCACCAGGGGGCAGATGCTCTGACCTGTAGGTTAGTTTGTTGCTGGGGTCTGGTCAATCAGGACTGGGTGAGATGGGCCACACACGCCCTGAAACCCTCTCACAGTCTCTCCCTGGCTGGTTGGCCGGTCCCTATTGGCCCCAATTGGAACTAGGAGAGACAGTCCCAATTGGCCCTATTTGCCAGCCAGGCCAAGAGAATTCACCAGTGCATGAATTTGTGCACCGGGTCTCTAGTCTATTACAGTGAAACTTGAGGCCTGGTGCACAAAATTCGTGCGTGGGGGAGGTCCCTTAGCCCGGCCTGCACCCTCTCCAATCGAACTCCTCAGACATCCCTCTCGCAATCCAGGACTGCTGGCTCCTAATCACTCACTTGCCTCCTGGCCTGATCTTCCCTAACTGTCCCCCCTGCCAGCCTGATTGCCCCTAGCTGCTCTCCCCTGCTGGCATGATCACCCTAACTGCCCTCCCCTGCCTGCCTAATCACTCCTAACTGCCCTTCCCTGCTGGCCTGATTGCCCCTAACCACTTCTGCCTCAACCCCCTCCTCTGTGGCTTTGTCCCAAAGGAAGGCAGGACGACTGGAAGATATATAGTTTCCCAGCCTAATTAGCATATTATTCTTTTATTAGTATAGTTCCTTGACATTCAGGACATTAATTTTTTGTCCTGAATGACTAAGAAATAGAAAAACTTGGAATCCATTAAACTTTGACTAGCAGTAGCTGACACTATGAATTAGCTGCTATGTCTGACAGTTTGTGTTAAATTATTAGTCTTTTGAATTGAATTGGTTTTTTTTTTTGGTCTAGTTGTTCTGCATCTAGATATCATTTATATTCCTTTCACAGAGCTTGTTGATAGAATGATTGACTGTCCACATTACTTAAATGGTTGTACCTTTTCTTGTGACCTTTTTATTCTATCTTCCTTTTTTTTTTTTTAACCCAAAATAAGTTGAATTAGCAAAGCCAGATGGCTGCCTTATCATTCTAATTTCTCCCTCCTGAATTCCTGTTAAATATTAGTACCTTTCTTAAGGTTCTTAAAACGAAAACCCAATCCAAATGTACTTAATTGGTATGTCTATGCCCCTATCCCTACAGAGATTTTATTTCTTCATCATCAGATACTTCATCCCAGACTGGCCCATAGTAACCCAATTAACTAAAAATTTATATCAATTTTTTTTTCCTTTGGTAAATGGAATTTATTAGTGTGTTGTAAGAAAGAAGCAGGATAAATGTTCATAGTATGATCTGTTTATCATGCAGTGTATTATGGAGAAAATTTGATATTTAAATTGACATGGGTTCACTGAAGAAAATGCAGCCAATAAGATACTTAAATTTACTAGGAGTCTGCAAAATGTAAATTAAAGAACAGTAAGATTTCATTTTATTTTCCTCCAATCAGATTGGTAAATATTAAAAGGAGCAATAATATACGTTGTTGAAGGGAATGTAAGAAAGTCTTTTTTCATACATTTGTGATGAGGTATGGTATCATAGCTTTTTGAAAGAACAATCTGTCCACATCTATTAAAATTAAAATATATGTACCCTTTTACCAGTGAGCCCAAGTTTAGAAATCTATCCATCAACATAAGAAACATTCAAATGCCCTCATAGGTTTGGCTCAGTGGATAAAGCCTCAGCCTGCAGACTCAAAGGTACCAGGTTTGATTCCGGTCAAGGGCATGTACCTTGGTTGTGGGCACATACCCTTTAGGGAGTGTGTAGGAGGCAGCTGATCGATGTTTCTCTCTCAGCAGTGTTTCTAACTCTCTATCTCTCTCCCTTCCTCTCTGTAAAAAAATCAGTAAAATGTATTTTAAGAAACATTCAAACCTCTGAAGAATTTTTGTGAGTTTATTCAAGTCAAACTGTCAACTATGCCGGGGAGCAAAATCTCAACAGATTGAGATTTAATGCTTCAGAGAATGGCAGGTTTTTGTTTGTTTGTTTTTGTTTTTGTTTTTTTAATATATTTTATTGATTTTGTACAGAGAGGAAGGGAGAGAAATAGAGAGTTAGAAACATCGATGAGAGAGTCATTGATCAGCTGCCTCTTGCACACCCCCCACTGGGGATATGCTCACAACCAAGGTACATGCCCTTGACTGGAATCTAACCAGGGGCCTTTCAGTCCCCAAGCCGATGCTCTATCCATTGAGCCAAACCGGTTTCGGCTGTTTGTTTGTTTTTTACCTTATTTTATACATTACAATTAAAAGAGAAGATGTAAGTGAAATTCATTGGTGATAAATTAAGGAGGCTAGAGAAAGCAAAACTGGGGAAACCTCTGGGATTGAATAGAAAGTAAAATGATAGACATAGTCCAGCTGCGGTGGCTGAGTGGTTGAACACTGACCTATGGGAGCCAGGAGATCACAGTTTGATTCCTGGTCAGGGCACATGCCTGGGTTGTGGGCTCAAAATCCATTAGGGATTGTGCAGGAGGCAACCAATCAGTGACTCTCTCTCATCATTGATATTTCTAACTATATATATTTTAAAAGTGATAGATGTATACATCTTCTACATAGGAGGATACAGGACAGTTAATAGTCAGCAGTTAACACGATAAAAATGAGAGGATTTGTAGTCTCTGCTCTGGTGCATAGATTGTGCTCTAAAGGAGCCAGGAAAAAAAGGCAAGTTACCCCGACTTTCCAATAATGCAAAAACAAGTAAAGCTCAGTTGAGGTAAAGATTGACTTTTGTCAGGCAAGGTTCTAGCCTAGGACATGATTACCTGCCATATAAACTGCTTTTTGTTAAAAATTTTTTTATTTCAGCCAGACCAATGTAACTTAGTGGTTAACTATTCACCTGTGAATCAGGAGGTCACAGTTCGATTCCCCATAAGGGCACATGACTGGCTTGTGGGCTCCATCCCCAGGGAGGGTGTGCATGAGACAGATTTTCATCATTGATATTTCTCTCTCTCTTCCTCCCTCTCTGAAATCAATAAAAGAGATATATATATTTTTTTAAGTTTTCATTTCAGACCATTCTATGGCCTTCCCTGAGCTTGTCAGATTAGCATGTGGCCTCTTTTCAGTCCATACATTTTATTGTCCATCAAACTAAAAAATGAAAAATACTTTAGGATTTGTGAGGTAGTATATGTTCATAAGATCTATGTTTTTTCATAAATATACATGTGTTTTATATACTTTTTATGATTTAATATGGGCTATTGAAGGGAGTTCAGGGATGGAGATATTCATAAAAACAGCAACTATGAAATCCTTTTCATGTGATATTGTTGTGTGTTTGCATAAATGGGAGGTCACTAACATGTTAATGATTACTTGATGGAGGTGGTTCAATTCTGGATGACCCTTTAATATTATAATGAATCATTCATATTCTTTATAAAGAATATGTTTTTCATACCAGGAGGAAAATCTATGGGGGTGGGGGGACGGGAAATGAACTTAAATACAAACATTGCATAGTCACTCTCAGATTTAAGAATGCACATGAGTAGTTAGCCCTTTTGATGTTGTCAGCAAGAGATGTTTCCATTTTATCTTTATGCCAGTTGACCAGTTAGTTATCTGTTGATTTTATCAGGGAGTCTATAGTAACTTATTTTGGTTTTGATATGGGAGCTTTTCTTTTGTATATCTTTTAGGCAAAAATAATGTGTTCCTCAATATGCAAATGTATTGGCTGTAAGAATTTTGAAGAAAGCCCAGAAAGAAAGACATTGATGCACTTGGCAGATGCAGCTGAAGTAAGGGTACAGCAACAAACAGCGGCGAAGACTAAGTTATCCTCTCAAATTTCAGACTTGCTTACGAGGCCAGCACCAGCTTTGAGTAGCGGAGGAGGAAAGTAAGTTAATAGTTTAATCTCTTTATAATGTGGCATGAATATTCATTTTTGGTTAAGTTTCTCCTTTTGGACAAAATTGAGTTCATACTTGGTTGTTACAAATCTGATTTTTACATTTTCTTGCTATCTTTTTCTTATTGTAAAGGAATTTAAAGGCAACAGAAAAACTGCTGTAGACACATTGCACAGTTCTAAAATGCAGTAATGCTTTAGTTCACTCGGCTTTAACTTCATTGGTTTTCTCCCCACTAAGATAAGTGATTATATAATTTGACAAACCTCTAAGAAAACCAGATTTTTCATAACTCTTACTGGTTGTGTCATTTTCTATATTTTTGCACTTTCTTACTGTCAACGTAGAAAATGTCCAGAGCTGTAAGAATTTTTAGGAGTTTATTTGAGCCAAACTAAGGAAAATTACTGGGAAGCAAAGTCTCAATGGATTGAGAAAATGCTTCAGAGATTCGTAGTTTTACGCCTTATTTTATGCATTACAATCAAAGGAGAAGGCATAAGGGTGTTATGAAATTCATTGGTGATAGATTAGGGAAATGGGAAAAAGTAAAGTAGGGAAATCTCTGGGATTGGATTAAAGATAAAACAAATTACCCTGACATTCCAAAGGTTATCATTAATGCAAAAAGACAATAGAATTGGCTCAGTTAAGGTCAAGATTGATCTTTGTCAAGAAAGATACCGGCCCAGAACAACCCTCCATGACTAGCTCTTAGAAAGTTTTAATTTCAAGTCATCTTATGAAGTTATGTTAGTTTGTGAGGCCGTCATGCAGGTCTCCCTTGAGCTGGCCAGGTTTAGTTTCATCCACATTACCTTCCCTTGCTTTTCATTTTCTGTGCCCTCTTGGCGCCAAACACTATATTATTGTAGCTCCTATTTCATTAGACTGCCGAGCTCTGGCATAGAAAAGCTGGAGCTTCATTTCAAGTCAGGGTGACCTGAATTTAAATATCTGTGCTCTGTAGTAGTGTGTAAATTCAGTAAGAACTTCATCTCTGAGCCTGTTTTCTTAGCCTTCAAATCACCCTCATCACAGACTATGAGCGAAGCATCTCTGTTGCAGTGTTTGGCAGGGTCTGATTCTACAAGTTTACTAACTGGGATTTATATTAGTTTGTTAGAAGTTAATTTGAGGAATTATTAAATACAGTAACCCTTGCAAATGGTATATAATTTAAAAAATGTCTAAGTTGAAATAGGATCTGATACTTACAAAAGACTTTTTTTGTACAACACATTTCAGCTATTAGTTCTAAAGAACTTTTACAACTGTAATAATCAGCAAATGGTTCTTCACTGAATAAAGTAGAAATGGGTTGACATCTTAATAAGGGATCCTTTCTGGTCATCTTGCTTTCAATAACCCTTCAGAATCTATCTCCATATGGAGATAAAAGATATTGCTACACTCAAATATTTATAATTAACTTTTCAATTCATTGCCATGAAGAAATATTTACTTTAAGAAGTGTAAAAGAATACAAAATAATATACTATAATCAAAGCTATGTAAAAACAACTATTAAAAAATATTATACCAACATGTAACATTTGTCTGAGTGGCAGAAGTTTGAATTTTTCTTTCCTTTTATTCTTCTAATTTCCAAATGTGATCTGAGCACTATGATTACACAGTATTACTAGTTATACAATATTGTAATATTAACATAATATTTTCTAATGTTTTGTCTCCTGAAGGCTTTTAACACTTGACTACATATCGTAAGCCTCAGGATGGATTGCTCTAATTCAGAACTCAGTAGTTCAGATCTTTATGAATAAAACTCCATGTATGAGCAGCATTTGGTTTCCCTTTGTTTTGTTTATTTTGATATAACAATGCAAAATTTTGGGGTGCTTGGTTTTTAAAAGAAACAAATATGTGGAAATATGTGAAAGTACTTTTAGTGTTTTCCAGGAGATAGTGTTTTCTATTCCCAATAACTCATCTTTTCATTCAACAAATATTTTTGAAGTGTCTCTGTGTCAGACACTTCTATACAGTGAAGAAACAGCAGTAAGTAAAACAAAGACTGCACTCATGGACTTTACATTTATGAGTCAGGAAGACTTTTGTTATAGAAATACCAAGTCAGCATGTAGAATTACATCTTTTAGTTAAGTAGATAACTTTGTCTAGGTATAAGACGTATTTTATGTAAAATGTTACATTTCCTGAACACTATTTTTCAAATATGCTCAATCATAAAACCAGGCCTATCTGTTTATAGCTCTTTAAGATGGGCTGTGCTCATTGCATAAATGTGATATTGAGTATGCTGGTGAATCATGAAAATGTCAACAGATTTCCATATGAAACAGCGCCACCCACTTTTGTAGTTAATCAGCACTCCATCACCTCTCTTTCTCTACATCATTTCAGATTGCCATTTACATTTGTAACCAAGGAAGTAGCTGAAGCCACGTGTAATTGCCTTCTTGCCCAGGCTGAGCAGGCAGACAAGAAGGGAAAATCAAAGGCAGCAGCTGAACGGATGATACTTGAAGAATTCGGACGATGTTTGATGAGCGTTATCAACTCTGCAGGAAAAGCAAAAAGTGACCCTTGTGCTATGAATTGCTAACTCTTGTGCAAAAGACTGATAAATGGAACTGTACAGAAAATTGAAGGTGCAGGGACACTGGATTTTCAGGAAGATGGTTTAACAATTATTGCATTGTTAATTCAGTCCTTATGAGACCTGAAATTATAATATCGAGAAGAAATTTTTAAATGAGGAAATTAGTACATTTTAAATCTTAGTTAAATCTGCTTATGCCCCTTCTAAATTGAATCTTTCTTTATTGTATTATATAGATTTTTAATTTGCTTGTGTTTCTTAAGAATTAGATGTTCTAGCCTCTGACTCTATTGACAAAGAACATTTATAAATTACTATAATTTATAATGTATGGCGTTGTATGACTTTGTTCAGTAGAAAAAGCCAAAGCAGCATTGGTATTTCCCAGTCATTCTCTGGTACTAGACTATCAGCAGATAGAACGTCTACATAAACAAGTTCTTATGAAACATATTTCAATGATGTTTTAAAAAGTACTATATTTTTAAAGAAAAATCAACTTTTTAGGATGGATTCTGGAATAATATCCTATTGTCATTTGGGGAATGTAAGAAGGGGAAGTAATCCATAGGCACACTTTTAAAATAAAAAAGTTTTGTTTTTTTAAGACATTAAGGGATAATAGATTAATTCTCAAAGGATGGGCAATGTGTTTTTATTATAAGAAGTGACTAAGAAGTGCTCTGGGATGTTTTTTTCATTTTCTTTCAAGGAAGTGGTATGTATTTGAAATAAATTATCAAGGTGATTACTGGGTACCATTAAAATGAAAGGCTCCTATAAATAGAAGCTAAGCATTAGGTAGTGGTAAAATAGAACCTTATATAATAATCAGGTATAAAAGTTGAATTTGATGGAGAAATAAAGAATATTGAAGTTCTAAGAAATGAATGTAGAGAAGGATATTTCATCTGTATAAGCAGTACTCTTTATAGACTTTTGAATTAAGAGGTTTCAAACCAGTATGAGAGTTAACTTACTGAAATGGGGCTCCTAACAAAGCTTTCAAAATTGTAGTAGGTATTTTTTTATAAGGGAAGCTTAATATGGCATTATTTTTAGCCAGTGATTTGTACACTGAAGGTATGAATGTTTTCATATAATTACTAAGTAACCTAAATTACTTTCAGAATTCAACAGCTTTATGAATTTAAGAGCCTGTTATAATAGGCCTCTGATTTTATGACAAGAAAAACCATGTTGGAATTCAGGCATTTGTTAGGTACCTTAATCTTCAATAATTATTAGTATGTGATTACATTTCCTACAGGAAATCTATAGTTGTATATATTAATTGTGTATATATGTTCATATGAACACACAAGATATAGGCAATAGAAATTAAGTAATCCAAGAGTCCGTTATTCATTGAATATCTATTTAAATTTGGATTTATAAAATTATAGTGCAGTAAACTTTAAATGTAGATAATGCAAACATTCTTAGCACCTCTATCTAGTATGTTTAATTAAAATTTGTATAAATGTAAATTAGTGTAAGGATAAAATATCTAATCAAGTTATTTTTCAAAAGATTACAATACCTTTTTGGTCTAAACATAAACTTTGTTCATTTTTGTACATATTCTGTGTTCAATTCTAATTGCACCTTTGTGATGTGTATTTATATACAGTGTGCAGAAAATGTTTGTGAAATTTGGATTACAATTATAGATTATGTATGATGATATTGCTTGAGAATGTTTTGCTTGTAAAAATTTGAAGGTGCAATCAAATACTACTAGTTTTACTGATCTTCAAGAAGCTAAAATATTAAGCCTTTTCCTTTGTGTGTAGTACTTACTAAACAACTTTTTGTATTTAGGCATTTGCATCAAATTGCTGAATAAGGTTAATATCCACATTAATTCAACAATTTTAAAATACTGTTTGGGGAGGTTTGGGTATATAATTTTTTAGCTCTATTTACATCCCAAAGTAGAAAGAATTAAATTTATATTTACTAGAGCTATTCAGAGTACACTTTTCTATATTGTAAAAACATGACAGCAAAGTAAATCATACAAAAAATAAACATTTATACTATTCTGTAAAAAAAGATTTTGCACTTTTTCTTCAATAACACCACTTTTAACCATTTAACATGCAAACCTTTTAAACATACCTGATTTCAGGTAAATTTAACATTACTTTTGAAAGCACAACTAAAAACCAAATCTATCATTTTGCCCAATTATCATTAACATAAATAGCTTTGAAATGAGACATTTTTTTCTCTCTCGGTTTATTGTTAACCTCACCAGAGGACATTTTCCCATTGTTTTTTAGAGACAGTGGAGAAAGTGGGAGAGACAGGGAGACACAACACATCAACTGGTTGTCTCCCTCACGGATCGACCAGGGAGGGGGATGGAGGTATGTGCCCTTGACTGACATTGAACCTACAACCCTTCAATCGGAGCGGGGCTGATGCTCTAACCAGAGCCAAATCGGTGAGGGCATTTTTTTTTTAAAGGGCAGAAACTCAATCTTACTCCTTTCCTTCTTAAGTTTGATATTCCTATGGTAAGCACCTTCCTACAAGAATGAAAAGCAACTTGCAGGTCTGGTCTTTGGACTATACGGGAACCTAGAACCTTGTTACTGGTAATAAAACAGAGCAACAACTTGTGGGAAGACTACTGCCTTAGCCTCCCCATCATTTGATATGGATAACTGACTTTAGCTCAATTCTAATGTAAAATGTAAATAAAAATACCTTCAGAAGCCTTCTATTTTATCGTTTGGCAGCTAAGAGAATGCTTCCCTAAATACAGGTTTAAACCAGGACCCCCTGCCATACCTATGATCATATTGCATCCCTTAAGCATCTCATATAGGAATTTTGTTGCACCAACCCAGAGAAAAGCCAATCACTAGAAAAACCTTGAGTATTATAGTTATTTTCTATTACGTAGTTTTATGTAAATTACTTAAATTTTTTGTTGTTGTTGTTAGGGTGAATTTTCTTTTTTTGTTGTTGATTTCACAGGGAGAGAGGGATAGAAAAATCAATGAGAATCACTGATTGGCTGCCTCCAGTATGCCCTCACTGGGGATCAAGCCTGCAACCCAAGCAGGTGTCCTGATTGGAATGAACCTGACCTCCTGATTCATGGATCAATGCTCAAATACTGAACAACACTGGCCAGGACAAGTATTTTAAGTTATAAGGTTTAAAAAACTTTAAATTAAAAATTGTTTTAAATAGTTTTATCAAAGCATTACATTTAAGGCACTTTAGTTTTTATCAAAAGCAATAAAATTCATATATTTATGGTAATGTTTATTATAAGGTCAAAGACTTTAATAACTATTATATTAGCAAATATCTGGAAATATATAAAAATACATCATGACCAGGTTGGTTTTATCCCAGGAATAAAAAGGATGGCCTCCCCCCCACCAAATCAATGTTATGTAACTTTTAAAAAAGTCAATGTTCTATATCTACATGCAAAAGCTATGAGATTATCTCAAAAGTTGCAGAAAACAACCTTTTGAGTATACTGAATTGTATGCTTTAAAAGAATGACTATTATGGTATGTAAATTACATCTCAATTTTTTTTTCAAAAAAATTTCATGTCAAAATTCTATTTAAATGGTTATAAAAACACAACTTTCAGCAAATGGGGAATATCAGGGATCCTAAACCTGGTAAAATTTTTTTTACAAAAAGGCCTACAGGTAATATATAAATGGTGAAAACAATGTTTCCCCCCTAACATTGGGAACAAGGCACTCCTATTCCACATTGTCTTAGAGGTCACTGAACAATAAGGGGGAAGGCCACAGATTGAAAATGAATAAGATAATATCTATTTGTGGATGATGTGAACACCAATATAGGAAAGTCAAATCTTTTTTTAAAAAGCACCAGTACTAACAAGGTCAGTATGCTTAAGTGTATTTGTATGCAGTAGCAATCAACATTTAGAAACAGATTTTAAAATGACTATTTATAGCAGCACCACAAAACATGAAATGTAACAAAAAATATGTACAAAGTCTGTATGTAGGAAACACTGATTTCTAATAAAATACCTTAAAAAAAAGAGATACCATGTTTATGGATTGGAACATTCATTATTAAATTTCTCCCTAAATTAATCTATGGATTCAACATATCTTGTCAAAATCTTAGAAGGAATTTTTGTAAAATTCAACTAGTTGACTATAAAATTTACATAGACAGGTACAACTCGTACCATTGGGACTGGGATATCCAAATGTGAACATCCAAACAATTTATATGACTCACCAAAATTAGCTTAAAATGGATTATAATCTAAATGTAAACCCTAAAACTACAAAATGTCTAGAAAACAGGAGAAAAAAAAAGTGACCTTGAGTTAGATTTCTCAGATATGAAACTAAGAAAAAAAAATCAATAAATTGGACTTAACAAAATTAATGTCTGATCTTCAAAGCATATGTAAGAAAAGCCCTAGACTAGGAAAAAATATTTGCAAAACATTTCTGATAGTAGACTAATGTGCAAAATATGTAATTAATGCTCAATTAGAAAACAATCTTCTCAAATGTAGGCAAAAGATTTGAACATTTCACCTAAAATGTGAATGGGCCCAATCAGCATAGCTGTGGTTGAGCATCAACCTATGAATCGGGTCATGGCTTGATTCTGTTATGGCACATGTCTGGGTTGCAAAGTCAATCCCCAGTAGGGGGCGTGCAGGAGGCAGACAATAGATGATTGTCTCTCATCACTGATGTTTCTCCCTTTCCCTTCTCAAATCAATAGAAATATATTTTTTAAAATAAAATTACGTAGATGGCCAATAAACCTACAAAAAGATGCTCATCATTACCTATTAAGAAATTTAGCTACAATGAAATATGCATGCCCAATTTCAATGGCTAATTCAAACAAAACCAAATACTAGGGCAGAAGCAGAGCAACAGGAAGTTTCATACATTACTGGTTGAAATGCAAAGCGGTATAGTCATGTGGCAAAAAAAGTTGTAGGAGATCGTTATCAAGTAAAATATACATTTACCATGTGACCTACTTATGAATACAGCACATTTTTATCATTCTTTAGTGGGTCTTTTTTACTTTTTAGCTATTATGTTACTATGAAACTTGTGTACAAATTTTTACATGGACATGTTTCTATTTCTCTTGGGTATATGCCTGTCAGTAGAACTGCTAGGTCATTTGGTAACTCTCTTTAACCCTTTGAAGAACTACCAGGCTGGTTTCCAGGATCTCCATTCTCATCACCAATGTATTATATAAGGATTCCAACTTCTCCACATTCTTGTTAACACATCTTTTTTATTATAGCCATCCCTAGTGGGTATTAAGTGATATCTCATTGTGGTTTTGATTTGCATTTCCCAGATGGCTAAAGTCCAACATATATTCTGGTGTTTACAGGCCCTTTGTAGATCTCCTTTGAAGAATGTCTACTCATAGTCTTTACCCATTCTAAAAATCAGGTTGTCATTTATTATGGAGTTATGCAAGTTCTTTGTATATTCTAGATACAATTCCTCTACCAAGTAATTTGTAAAAATTTCCTCCCATTCTGTGGGTTGTCTTACTTTATAGATGTCCTCTGAAGCACAAGTTTTTAATTTTGATGTCCAACTTATTTTTTGTTGATGGTGCTTTTGGTGTCATATCTAAGACACTATCACAATATAAGTTCCCGACTCTTTTCTTCCAGTTTTATAGCTTTACCTCTTACATTTAGATTTTTTATCTATTTAAAGTTAATACTTTTGCATGATGATATACAATTGTTCCAGTACTATTTGTTGAAAAGAATACATTTCTGAAGAGAATGTTAGTTTTCTCCAAAGAAAAAAAGGACAAAGGTGCCGAGTAAAATTTATAAACTAACCCTAATCAAACATGACTATTTAAAAAATTCCATATCACACTTTCCTTAGAGCAAAAGCAATTAACTGTGCTAAATGCAGTGATGGAAATATTATCTTCAATGTTTTTCCAACTTATCCAGCACTTAAAGTAAGGCAAACCACTAATTTCTAAAATAAGAATATATTAGTACATTAGTCAAAGTAACTAAGACACTACAGATATGAACTAGTTTTTAGTAAAGATCAGATAAAAAACTTAATTCAGTTATAAAACTTATTGAGTTATTAAAGGTGGATTTATAAAGGTGTGACTAACAGATTTCCTTTAAATAAGATTTATCCTGGTGAATCTAAACTAATTCTATGGCAAACGAAACAAAAACCACAATGTTCAGACTTCTCAGCAATAGTTCTTAATATAAATTGCAGTGCAACTCTGATTACATTTCAAAACTTAAGCCTTTGAGGTAGAATATAAAAAAATATTAAAATATACTATTTAGGATAAATTTCAATTAATAAAACTAAATTTTTAGCCAGTAAATAACCTTTGCAATTTTTAGTTTTCTTATTAACTGTACTTTTTAACATTCATTCAATAACAGTATTTTACATACACAGGTAAATAATGTACTTGCTTCTTTTATACATTAAAATACTCCCACTTATAAAAAGTACATACACCTACATGTTTTTCTATTTATCTTTTCAACTTTGGGTGTGAGAAAATTGGCCTTATTATATTTCCATCTTTGACAGTATTTAAGTTACTCCTAAATTTCTGTAAAACTTAAGACAATTTTTTTCATACCTATAATCTCAATTGACCATCTTTCCCCCAAATTATTACATGCTATAAAATTCCATTATTGATTCAACACTGAAATGTTTCATTATTTTAGCTCCCTGTAAATACAAGTAGGCTTCAGAAAAGCAGAAGTTAAGATAAAAATTTCTCATTTGCTGAGGAGCATTGGGCTCTTTCAACAGGAGTCAAGTAATTACCCACTCTATTATTCAAAAGTACTATTTCAAAGTCCAGAGACAATAAATTGTGAAAATTACATCACCTGTGTACATCCCTAAAACTATAATCCCCAGCTTCACTGTAGCACAGGGAATATTTCATGGCTCAGATGCTTACTGTCCGTCTGATAAAGCATACATATTTCTACTTTAGGATACCCTAGCAAAGGGACTTTGTGGTATCTGATAATTTAACTTAGCCAAAATCTAAAACCACACATTAATTTTCATATATAAATAAAATTATACTCAAGGTATTCTGTCAACCAAAGCTCTTTTAAGGAATGTATAACAGTCTAGTTGTAAAAGGAGTCAATGTGTTGCTGACTCCTCGTTGTTATTTTCTGTTGTTTTTAAAGTAGATTGAACAAATTAAAATTATGTCCAGTCACATTATTCAGTCTAACGTAAATCCAAAGCCAGTAGTTCTTGTCTAGTCTGCTCTTACTGCTTTGTTCAGGTTGGTAACGTTAAAATGCCGCAAACATACCAAAGTTCAAGCAGATTTTATGAAATATGCAAGTTGTAAATTCTAAAGAGTACAAACCTGTCCACTGTGCAGAATGATCAATTTAGAAAATATGGTAGGTTGAACTTGAAAATAAATGTTGGCCAACTATTCTTAATATAGATTTAAATATATTTTGGGTCTCTCATTTGAATGGATATCCATGGTTACTTAGCAGATGCCTGAATTTATTGGTATTAGCAAAACTTAAACATTTGCAACCCTCTAAAGATGATCAGTGGGTCCTTGACATTTTCATTTCAAGTCTTTCTGGCTGATGTTTTATAGGAAAATGAGCTCTATCTTTAGCTCTCAACTTTAAGAAGCAGATATAATTCCCTCTGTTTAGCTCTCAACTTTAAGAAGCAGATTATTATATCCTTTAGTAACTTTACAAAGTGATTGGTGGCACACACTTCTCCATCAAAGAGATGCTCATCTAAATCTACAAAAAGATAACTATGTCCAGAAAGCTCACATAATATTTCCTGTTGAAGACATAATTCCCTCTGCTTAGGAAGTTGTTCATAAATTGCCATTTTTGAATGGGTTCTTACAACCTGCTCACAAATGTTTATGACTCGACATAAACTTTCTGAAGGGATATGCAAACCATTCTTCTTTTTAACACACAGCAGTGACCCAATTTTAGAGACTTTGAGATCCGATGCATACAGTGCACTGACACAGTCCTCACAAGTTAAAAGAGCTGATAATGTATCTGCAACATAACCAGCACAATAGGTGAGATTTCGCCTATAATCCGATAGGTCTAGTAATGCCTCACTTAGTGAACAATTAGACCAATCTAGGCAAATATCCTCATTGTGAAAAGGAGTCTTTATAATGTTAACGCCATAATGACGTTGAACTGTACACAGGTTTATGTCTGTCCTTCGAGCAATTGATATGTCGAGGATGCTCAGGTCACTTAGAAAAACTTCACCTTGTAATCTGTATCTGGTTTCCAAATTATGGTAAGCTTTCTCGAATGCCATGCAGGTAGGGTTAGAACTGGTTGCTAGAATTTTTCTAAGCATCTTTAGAAATAATTCCAGATGGTCTTGGCTGAATTTGTAAGTAAGAAGATATGGAAAAGGCCATACCTTTGGGAAAACATAATTTTGATAGAGCCATTTTAAGCTCTCAGCATTAAGCAAAAATCCCAAGAATCCTAGTTTTCGCTTACCTTTAATTATCTGATTATTGCTAGTATCAGATAAAGTAACAAAAATAGTCTTGGCTTCAGTTAATACTTGATTAATTTTATTAAAAGTTGCAAGCATTAGAGGTCCTTTAAGTCCCTTTCCATAATAGTTTCTACTATTAAAAATTTCAAAGAGATTATTAATTAAGCGTACAAAGTGGATGGTACCAATACAATTTTGAAAAGGTGGCAGGCTTAACGACAGCAAACATTCTAACGCACTGGCTACACTCTCGGTGAAGAGTTGGGCAGCTGAATTCACTTTTAGTACATGGTTTTTCAAATTTGCAAGTTTTCTTGGGATTCTTTCCATGCTTGATAATTCCTGCTCCTCTAGTGCTACTAAGTCCACCAGGTGCTGCCAATGTGCTGTGCCATTACTAAACTGAATGCTCTGAAAACTCTGAAATGCATTTCTTATTAATCCAAGCAAGTGGCAAGAATCAAAGAAGTATGCAATCTGTTGACTAGAAGATGAAGGATGCTGGAATGTGTACTTCATGTTGTCTTCATCAATGTGTATCCCCAATGCTTTTGCCATCTGAACACTCTGAGCTGTAGCATCAGACGTAACAGCCACAACTGTGACCCCTATGTCGCTCAGTTTGCCAATAGTAAGACGAAGCAGCTGAGCTTGCAAATATCCAGACGCTTTGTTTACAAAAAAATAACCAAGAGGTGTTTTCCAATGACCACAAATACCCACTGCCATCAACAAAACAGTTTCTGAGGCGAGTGGCATTTCATCAGCATCCAGTGTGCCGAGACCGAAGTCCATAAACCCTTGCAAATGTTGACTGCTGGGATCCCACTGCACCTGCTGCTTGAGAGAAACACCTTTTATTATCAGTGAACAATACCGATACAGCAGGTCTCCGTTATCGACTCTTTGTTGAAGAAAAGAAAAAACGTTGCTGTTGAAACCTGGGCTGGGTTTGCATTTGGATAACCATCTGGAAAATATAAAAATTGAAAAATATAAGACACAAATGAAGAAATGAAAAAAATTTAAAGAGAGAGAAAATGCTGCCCGGTAGGTGTGGCTCTGGTTAAGCGTTACTGACCCGTGCACCAAGAGGACAGTTTGATTCTTGTTTAGGGCACATGCCCAGTTTGTGGGCTCAATCCCCATTGGGGGTGTGCAGAAGGCAGCTGATGGATATTTCTCTCTCATCAATCTATCTGTCTCTTCCTCTCCCCTTTTCTCCCTCTAAAATAAATAAAAAGCATACTTCTTTTTTAAAGAAGAGAAAGAAAATGTCTTAAATGGTACTGAAGTAGCCTTAAATCTCTAAATAAATAAAGGCAAGTGTAAGTAGCCAAATTCTCAAGTAAATAGAATTACCATAAAATAGTAAGATAATAGAGAAACTTAGAAATAGAGTGGTATTTTAAGGTGCAAACATACCACAAAATAATTTTTAATTTCTGATTTACTTCTTTTAAAAATACAGAAATCAATTATTCAGTTTGTTCTAATTGATGTATTTAGAATTCATATCATAAACCAGTCTGACCTGTAAATTCACTGAAATGAGAAAATTGTTGAAGGGGAAGGAAACTTTGGGGACGTTTCGTACATCAACCTCATTTTATAGTTAGGAATCTGGGACAGAGGGAAAGGTTAAGCCTATATTGACCTATACTGTGCTGCTAGTTATGCACAAGTGTGAAACCCAGCTTTGTTGTTGCCTTCTTCAGTTTTTCTCATTGCTTCAAAAGTATACTCTTAGGGGCAACTAAGGGAGTCTCCATTGTAAATGTCTAATAGCTGGAGAATGCCTGAGTTACTAGGATACAATTCCCTGACACTATGCAGCTATTAAAGATCACAACTAGCCCTGGCTGGTTTGGTTCGGCGGATAGAGCATCGGCTGCGGACTGAAGGGTCTCCGGTTCGAGTCCAGTCAAGGGCACATGCCTGGGTGGCGGGCTCAATCCCCGTTGGGGGGCCTGTGGGAGGCAGCCGAAAGGTGATTCTCTGTCATCACTAATGTTTCTATTTCTCTCTCCCTCTTCCTTCCTCTCTAAAATCAATAAAAATATATTTTTAAAAAAGATCACAACTATGTAAAAAACTAGTAATCTAAGTCCAGAAAAAAGCTTGTTAGAAAATTCCCTGAATGGTAATAATAATAATTGCTTAAATATAATGTAGAGGAACAATTAATGAGTTTTCCTTCCTTTCTTTAATTTCTAAATGTTTTAGTAGTAGTATTTTAATAGTGTATATGGAGAAAAATTCTCATTTATTTTTTAAGAGGGGATATAATGTACAGTCTGGTGACTATAGTAAATAATACTGTATTGTAAATTTGAAATTACAAAGAAAGTACATCTTAAAAGTTCTCATTACTACCTGACCAGTTTGGTTAAGTGGTTGGAGCACTGGCCCATGCACCAAAGAGTTCCAGGTTCCATTCCTGGTCAAGGGTGTGTACCTGGGTTTCGGGTTCCATCCCCAGCCCTGGTTGGGCACATGCAGGAGGTAAACAATGTGTCTCTCTCACATCAATGTTTTTCTCTTCCCTTCCCTCCCTGCACTCTCCTCTAAAAATTAATGGAGAAACTATCCTCAGGTGAGGATTAACAAAAAAAAAAAGAAAAAAGAAAAAGTTCTCAACGTTAAGAAAAAAAAATGTTGTGTGTGATGGATGTTAACTAGACTTATTGTGATGACCAATTTAAAATATATACAAATATTGAATAAATGTACACCTGCAACTAACAGAATTTTATGTCAATCATATCTCAATTTATAAAAAAAAGATGTTTTCCCCAAAATGGAAAAAAAAAAAGTCATGATAATTGAAGCTCTTTCTCCTTCCAGGCCTCAATTTCTCCCTTCTTTAAAATGAGGGGGTTTAACTACATGGTATCTAAGAGTTTCTTCATCTCAGAGTTCCTATGACTCTATTTTCAAGTTGGAGCAACAAGAAATCAAGAGGACCTTCCACAAGAGATAGAGGACTCCTGTTATTCTTGAATGGTCTCTACCCCAACTCCAATTAAATGGAGTGGTTTTTATTATTATTATTATTTTAATATATTTTTATTGATTTTTTCTCAGAGAGGAAGAGAGAGGGATAGAAAGTTAGAAACATTGAAGAGAGAGACATTGATCAGCTGCCTCTTACACACCCCCTACTGGGGATGTGCCTGCAACCAAGGTACATGCCCTTGACCGGAATCGAACCTGGGACCTTTCAGTCCACAGGCTGAAGCTCTATCCACTGAGCCAAACCGGTTTCGGCAGGAGTGCTGGTTTTTAGATAGCAACTTGAGATACACTGTATTTCTTTCTTATAGCTATTCAAAATCCTAATTACCATCAAGGCATTCTTTCAATTGCACAAATATTAATTAAGGGACCATTGTGTTCCAAGCACTGCTCAGGGTTAGGGTGTTTGGGTAAAACAAAGAACCAGATGTAGACCTCGTACTTGAGCAGCTCATAGTATAGTGTGGAATACAGTGTCATTGTACTTAAGATTCAGTTCCATATCGTGTGTGCAAGAGAGGTGCCTAATCCAGAATTGGGAGGATGATAGGCCAGGCTTCTGAAAGGATGTAATACCTAGTCTGAGTCTGAAAGGTGAGAATCAATCATCATACAGAAAAAATGGGCATTTCAGGCAGATGGAATATTAAGTCCCTAAAGCAAGAAGCAAGAAATGCCTTACAACTGGAGCATGAGGACAGAGTGGAAGGTAAGAGAGAAGCTGCAGGGCCAGGAGGTGCCAATCACACGAAGCTCAGTAGACCACAGGAAGGAATTGGCCTTTGGACTATGGGAAATGGGAGGCTTATGCAGCAAGGAAGTAATTGGTATGGGTTGAATTGTGCCCCTCAAAAATGTTATATTATAGTCCTAATCTCCAGTACCTCAGAATGTGACCTAATTTGGAGATAGGGTCTTTATATCGGTACTCAAGCTAAAATAAGGTCACTCTAACATGATTGTGTCCTCATAAAAAGAGGGAACTTAGACCAAGAAACAAAAATAATGGAAGATGAGGTGAAGAAATAGGAGAAGACTACCATCCACAAGTCAAGGAGAGGCATGGAATAGACTCTTTCCTCAGCCTTTAGTAGGAACTAACCCTGCAGACACCTTGATTTTGGACGTCTAGCCTCCAGAACTCTAAGACAATAAATTTCTGTTTAAGCCAAGTAAATAAATAAAAGTAAAGAGAAATCAGTAAAATCAGTAACAAAAACAGTGAAAACTGAATATTAAATTTATAAGATATTATAATACAGTCATTGTGTTATTTCCTTTACACTAAGAAAATTACAAACGTATCTTTGTATTTTGATCACAAATCCAAAAAAATTATTTATCACAATCTGGGCTCTGGACAACCTTTATTGGCATCAAACTATCAATGAAGGTTTTCCAGAACTTTAAAAAATTCATATTTTTAAAAATGTATAATTTTTATTGATTTCAGAGAGGAAGGGAGAGGGAGAGATAGAAACATTAATGATGAGAAAGAATCATTGTTTGGCTGCCACCTACACGCCCCTTACTGGGGATCGAGCCCGAAAGGTGGGCATGTGCCCTTGACTGGAATCTAACCTGGGACCTTTCAATCTGCAGACTGATGCTTTATCCACTAAACCAACCCAGCTAAGGCAAAATTCAGATTTTTATTCTTTGCTTTAAACCAATGGTATCATTCTAGAACCCTTCTAGATTTTCTAAGATAGTCACATATTAAGACTACTGAAGTGTATTACAAATTCCAACACTTCAAGATTTGAATTGTATCACTCAGAATGTCTCTATCATTTAGCAGATGCAAAAGATGTCAGACTATATGTCTTCATTTTGTTGGTGAAAACATTGATCGTGCTAATATGTAAACACCAAATATGAAGTTTTTAAAAAGAGAAATGGACTAATAAAGGAGAATGTAAATTCTAATAGCCTTAATCTCTAAAATGCAATAAAGTAATTCACTTACGTTCTCAGGATGGAAGAATGAGGCAGTTTAAGAATCTTTCTTACATAATCATAGGCTTTGCTACTGCACAAATAGAGTGTACACGCAAATCGCTTCATTTCTGTAGAGTACTCAGATGTTTCACTCCAGTTGTACAATTCCCACTTAAAATCTGTTAAAATAAATTTATTCTTTTGTGATGAAAAATGTATAGAGTAACATTTTCAGGTATAAAGCATAAAATTTTCATTTAAAATGCACTGGAAACCAAAATTTAAATACAATCATAACTGATTTTGTTCAGAGATTAATATCCTATCTGTGAGCCTGTTGTCCAACTTATCTTGAATCATTTCACTAGAAAGAGGGAAGAAAAAAGTTTCCACTTGAATCACTGTATGTAACTTCACTGATAGCCCAAGGGGAGATTTTTAGAGACACAGGAAAGTAAAGAAAATAACTGGATAAAATTAAGCCTCTTGATTATGAGATTTTTTTGTTTTATTTGTTCCCTGGTTATATTTATATGAGGGCAAAAATTAGTCAAGAGAAACATTTCTGGGGAATGCTTGGATTGAACAATCTTTCCTACCACTGAGAAAAAACACAATAAGCACCCATGTTCCTGGTGGGACATCTATTAATTATCTCTATTCCTCACTTGGAAACATACAAAATATTCTCTGCTAGAGATACCTACCCTTCTAGAAGCAGGACATGCTCCTTATTCACCAGAATGTAAATCCAAATTATCTGCTTCTCTCATCAAAGAGTAAGTTGGCAATTCTTATTTTGCCCTCTTTAAAATCCTGGTTTACAAAGACTAAGTAGCTTTTTAAATGGACACATATACGGTATTTATTCTATGAAATATTTTAGAAAATATTTGGAGATTCATACAATTTTCAAACTCAAAGAAATTTTGATGTGGCTAAATTGTTGACCATCAACCTATGAACCAGGAGGTGGCGGTTCCATTCCTGGTCAGAGCACAGGCCAGGGTTCTGGGGTCATAGCCCAGGTTGGGGAAGGGGAGTGGGTGTCGGGTGCAGGAGGCAGCTAGTACGATGACTCACTCTCATCATTGATGTTTTTGTCTCTCCCTCTCCCTTCCTCTCTGAAATCAATAAAAATATCTTTTTTAAAAAATGAAGTATTTGAGATAGGGGAACAAAGGGGGGGGAGGGAGAAATGGAGGGCATCTGTAATACTCTCAACAAAAATAAATTTTAAAAAAGAATTTGAGATAACACGGGTAAATATTTTATAAAAAGTGAAAAGAACACTATCTGGTATAAACCGTCTGATCTCAACTCTGGGTAATAGGATTATCTGTTATTTTTATCTTTTATATACTTCTTTACTATTCTTATAATAAACACATTACTTTTAAAATTGGAAAGCCATAAAAGGATTTTGGTGATTTCCTTTCATTCTTCTTGCTTATGCTACGGAGATTTTTCACTTCTCATCCAAAAAGTATGTTTTCACAAGCAATAGCAAAGTAAATATAGGTACTTAAGATATTTCAGAAAACTTAAGAGCTACTTTGTAAATATTACAGGTCACTGGAGAGCATACCTGAAAATTGTGCTCGTAGCAGACACTCTGTTTCTTCAGAAAGTAGTCTTTCTTCCACCAGTGTATCAATTAATTGTAAACCCTCTCTCTTCTTCATCATGCTGTGGTTTTTGGCAGGAACAAGTCTTTTTTTGGACAATGGTAACATCTGTTGCACTTCAGCCAGGTTCTCTTCTGCTGTCAAAGATCTCTTTAAACTGTAGTTATGGTCCTCGGTAGCAACCTCTTCAGAATCATCAGGAAGAGGCTCTTTTGGGATTTTCTGTCTTGCTTTACCGTTTTGTTGCACATCTTGAAGATCCTATGACAGAAAAAAAAAGATGATTATTTTAGAAATTATAACACAGATTATCTATAATAATACCACTGAATACAAAGCACTCACCTGGTTGCTGTGGAATCAGTTATGAAAGAGAGGTCATAATCTCTGATTTTTAAAAAATGTATAGTCTATAGGACAATGTAAAACAGGTTTCTTTTTTAATTTTTTCATGTATACAGAAATAGTAATACGATGCTGAAAGTTTCTGAAATGATTAAAGTAACTAGAGAAAGGTGGTAATTTGTGCATATATATGAGTTTTGAGTGGTTCTTTGAAGGAGCAATAATATGGCTTAATGGAGGGACAGCGAAGTTACTTATGCAAAAAGGAAGGCATAGTGGACAGAGCCTGAGCGTTAGAATTAATAGTAAGACTAACCAGTGTTCAATTTCCGGCTCCCTCACTTGTTAGCTGTCACCTAATCTCTACAATACTGAATCTCCTCATTTGTTTTGAGGACACAAGAATTTATGTAAATCTTCTAGTATAATACCTATCTATTGTAGATCTTAATAAATAGTAACTATTATTGACTTTACACAAAAACATGAAAGCAAGTCAATTTGCTGTGGGTACAGTGTTTCCCAAAGTGTGGTACGTGTACCCCCAGGGGTATGGGAAGAGTTTGGTGGGGATATGCACTGCACCATGCTTAGCTGCGCCTAATTCTACGTACTCATGAGTACAAGGGGAACTCAGCGTTACGAAAATTATAGAAGGGGTACACATATGTCGAAAGTTTGGGAAACACTGGGTTAGTATATGTGGTTCAAAACAATAGTTCAAAGCAATTAGAAATATACAAATCAGTTAAATAGGAAGCTTTGGAACTTATGAGTTTGGATTTAACACCATCTATTATTCTTTTGAATAGGGGGAATAAGAAAAAACAATACCAAAAGAAGTAGACTCCATTGAATAAGAGGAAGGTAAGGATAGTAGTAGCAGGCTAAAACAGATGACTATGCAGTCTGTACAGTGAATGAACCATGTACAAGAGTGTGGCTAACGGGTCAAAGGATAAAATAAAAACCATCAACCCAGCCAGTGTACTCAGTGGTTGAGCATAGACTTTTGAACCAATACTGGTGATTGACTCATAGAAAGTCTTCTATTTCTATGTATTCCTCTATGTCAACACTAATAATTAGGTACATCTTTCATCAAAATCAGGAACTTTCTTGGGAGGAGCCAAAAAAGAGGGGTAATTTCAAAGTATTATGAAAACTGTCACATACTGGCCCAGCTGGCATGGCTCAATGGTTGAGCGTCTACCTATGAACCAGGAGGTCACAGTTAGATTCCAGGTTCGAGTGTATGCCTAGGGTGCTGGCTCAATCCCTGGTGTGGGACGTGCATGAGGCAGCCAATTAATGATTCTCATCATTGATGTTTCTATCTCTTCCTCTCTCTTCTTCTCTGAAAAAAACAAAACAAAACAAAAAAAAAAAACCACAACAAAACAAAAACAAAACAAAAAACACCCAAAAAAACAAACAAAAAAAAAAACACACAAAAAACCTGTCACATATTTAAAAGTCTGAGTCCAGGCTTTTTTATGCCCCAAGTTGATTTTTGTAATCAGTTTAGTAACCTCTATGTATATCTACACATATTATCTGCGTTTATATACCTTACTTTTTATCAAGCTCCAAAAGCAGTAATATTATAGATTTAAATGTAAGCAAAACTGCTGGGACTGATTTGGCTCAATGGATAGAGCGTCGGCTTGGGGACTGAAGGGCCCTGGGTTCGATTCCGGTCAAGGGCATGTACCTTGGTTGCAGGCATATCCCCAGTAGGGGGTGTGCAAGAGGTAGCTGATCAATGACTCTCTCTCATTGATGTTTCTAACTCTATCTCTCTCCCTTCCTCTCTGTACAAAAATCAATAAAATATATTTAAATAAATAAATGTAAGCAAAACTAATTTTCTAAGCATTTAAAATTTATTGGATTTATTTTAAGATGTAGGATGTTTTTTGGTTTTTTAAACTTTGCAGATTTTAGCTATAATGTAAGCTATCTTCATTTTTATAGCCTCAGTAAAACTTAGTTTTATTTACACCTAGATTTAAGTACCTTGTATAGAGAAACAGAAGGCACAGCTTCTTTTTTCAGCATTCTTCTTAAGCCATATGACTCAAAGTCACTTTCAAGAAAATGTTTGGAACATAGTATAGCACATGGTCCTGGGATCCAAATCTTTTTGCTTCTGGGATCCATGCGATTAACAGCCTTGATCCATTTTGAGCGCAGTATGGTATCGCTTGGAAATCTATAGCAATTATATTAAAGTTCTATTAACATGAAAGTGTTATAGTAATGATATAGCAGATACAAACCCATTTGTTATTTAACTGCTTTATTTCAACATTAAGTCCAGTTAAAGTTTAATTTACTTAATCTGATTTCATTTTTCAAAATTATTTCCTATTTCTGAATCTAGAAATTCGTGATCCTGTCTGCTCCAATTTGTATGGGGGCAATTCTTATATTAAATATCCTACCACTTTTTGCCTTTACTGCCTACACTGAACAGAATCAGTTCATATTTAATGTGTTTTCCTTTTCTGGCAATTTTCCCATGATGATTTTAAACCAGGTCCTACAAATTCTTTAGTACTCTTCCTTCGAAGAGGTTAAGCCTAATTACCCTCCCCTTGAGTGTGGGCTAGAGTTAGTGATTTGCTTCTAAGGAATACAAAAAGAGCAGAAGTTACAGTGGGCAATGAAATACTACCTAATAGCTGAAACCGGTTTGGCTCAGTGGATAGAGCGTCGGCTTGCAGACTGAAAGGTCCCAGGTTCAATTCCGGTCAAGGGCATGTACCTTGGTTGCAGGCACATCCCCAGTAGGGGGTGTGCAGGAGGCAGCTGATTGATGATTCTCTCTCATCGATGTTTCTAACTCTATCCCTCTCTCTTCCTCTCTGTAAAAAATCAATAAAAATATATTTTTTAAAAAATACTACCTAATAAAATAACATGCAAATTAACCATCACTCTGCCACACCCACAAGTCACGCCACCAGCCAATCAGAGCAAGTATGCAAATTAACCCCAACCAAGATAGCTGCAGCCACAGAACAGGAGAGGCTTAGGTTTCCCAGGCAATAAAGCCAAGCTTCTGCAGCCCTGGCGGGCCTAGGCCTCCACTCCAGGCTACAAAGTTTCAATTATAGAAGGTAAATAAATTCCAGATACCAGGGCCTCGGCTTGGGTAGCTGGGGGGCATGGCAGGCTTGCAAACCACCACAGGCCCCTCACCCAGGCCACCCCACACCCCAAGGGAACACCCATCCTGATTCTGGATACCCTTCATGGCAAAGCAGCTGGCCCCCACCCATGTATCAGGCCTCTAATCTAATAAAAGAGTAATATGCAGATTGACCATCACTCCAACACATAAGATGGCTGCCCCCATGTGGTCAAAGATCCTGCCCCCATATGGACACAAGAGGGCCACCATAAGATGGCCAGCAGGAGAGGGCAGTTGGGAGGGACCAGGTCTGCAAGGGAGGGCAGTTGAAGGTGATTAACCCTGCAGAGGAGGGCAGTGAGGGGTGACCAGGCCGGCAGAGGAGGGCATTGGGGGCAAACAGACTGGCAGGGGAGCAGTTAGACATCAATCAGGCTGGCATGGGTGTGGTTAGGGTGTGATCAGGCTGACAGGCAGAAGCAGTTAGGGGCAATCAGGAAGGCAGGCAGGTGAGCGGTTGGGAGCCAGCAGTCCTGGATTGCGAGAGGGATCAAGGGGTCCCAGATTGGAGAGGGGGCAGGCTGGGCTGAGGGACACACCCCACACCCCATGCAGGGATTTCATGCACCGGGCCTCTTGTTGGATCATAAAAGGAACTGAGGCTTCCTCCTTACTCTATTGAATGTTTTTTCTCCAAGTGGAAGTTATCTGCCATGTCATAAGCAGCCCTATGAGCTCCACTTGGCAAGAAACCCAGGCCTGCCGAAACCAGTTTGGCTCAGTGGATAGAGTGCGGGCCTGTAGACTGAAAGGTCCTGGGTTCGATTCTGGTCAAAGGCATGTACCTTGGTTGCAGGCACATCCCCAGTAGGGGGTGTGCAAGAGGCAGCTGATCGATGATTCTCTCATTGATGTTTCTAACTCTGTATCCCTCTCTCTTCCTCTCTGTAAAAATATCAATAAAATATAAAATAAGCCGAAACCGGTTTGGCTCAATGGATAGAGCGTCGGCTTGGGGACTCAAGGGACCAGGGTTTGGTTCCGGTCAAGGGCATGTACCTTGGTTGCGGGCACATCCCCGGTGGGGGGTGTGCAAGAGGCAGCTGATCGATGACTCTCCCACATGGATGTTTCTAACTCTCTATCTCTCTCCCTTCCTCTCTGTATAAAATCAATAAAATATATTTTTTAAAAAATAAAAAAAATAGCATCTTAAAAAAAATAATAAATAAAAAATAAAATAAATAAAATATAAAATAAAAAAATAAATAAAAAAAGAAACCCAGGCCTCCAAAGAACCTATGAGTGAGCCTTGTTGAAAAAAGCCCCTTCAGCCTCAATCAAGCCTTATTCAGTCTTTCCTTTTTATATTTTCATTAATTTCAGAGAGGGAGAGGGATAGAAACAACAGTGATGAGAATCATCTGTCAGCTGCCTCCTACACACTCCTCATTAAGAATCTAGCCTACAGTGGATAGAGCGTTGGCCTGAACCGGTCCTCTCTGTAAAAATATCAATAAAATATAAAATAAGCCGAAACCGGTTTGGCTCAATGGATAGAGCGTCGGCTTGGGGACTCAAGGGACCAGGGTTTGGTTCCGGTCAAGGGCATGTACCGTGGTTGTGGGAACATCCCCAGTGGGGTGTGAAGGAGGCAGCTGATCGATATTTCTCTCTCATCAATGTTTCTAGCTTTCTATCCCTCTCCCTTTCTCTCTGTAAAAAAATATATAAAATATATTTTAAAAAAAGAAAAAAAGAAAAGAATCTAGCCTGAAACCTCTGCATGTGCCCTAACCAGAAACAGAACCTCCACTTCCAGGTTCATGGGTCAATGCTCAACCACTGGGACACACTGCCTGGCAAGCCTTCAATCTTATCACACCTGTAACACCCAGCTAATCCCTCCTGAACTTTTAAAAAAATCTTTATTGAGAGTTTTTTTTTTTTACCCCCAATGCCCTCCTCCGCCCCATTTCTGCCCTACTCCAGGCATTCACCCAGTGACTGTATCCATAGATAATGCATATATGTATATATTATAGGATTTTTGATTAATCTCTTTCTACCCCACTCAGATTCCTCAGTCTGTTCCATGCCTCTAATTTTATTTTATTCATCAGTTTTTTTTGTTCATTAGATTCCTTGTTCATTTACTTTTAGATACAATTTTGATATGTACTTATTCCCTTTTTATTGTTCATTTATCTCCCCCCTTCCCCTCCCCTTTCTTCCTCCTCTTAAAGAACACCCTTAGCCTGGCAGGTGTGTCTCGGTGGTTGTGCGACCCATAAATATGAGGTTCTAGTTGGATTTCCAGTCAGGGCACATGCCCAGGTTGCAAGCTAGATCCCCGCGAGGGTGGAGGGGTGAGCGTGGGGGTAAGGACCAGCTCCCCAATCTCCACCAGCTGTGGGGGGAAACATGCAGGAGGAAGCTGATCAATGATTCACTCATCATTGATATTTTTCTCTCTCCCATCATTGATATTTCTCTCCCTCTCCTTTCCTTTCTGAAATCAATAAAAATATGTATTTTTTTTTTAAAATGCTTTGTCAATGGCTTAATTCTACATCTCACATTACCTTAATAGATTACTTTTTCTTTTTTTAAATCCTCACTGGAAGATATTGTTTATTGATCTTTAGAGAGAAGGGAGGGACATAGATGTGGGGAGAGAAGTAGAAGGGGGGGAAGGGACACAGAAAGAAACATCCATCAAAACTTCAGTTTGTTGATTGCCTTCCCCTTGCGCCCAATTAGGGGTCCAATCGCAAAGTGGGTAAGTGCCCTGACCGGATGGATGGAATCCAGCACCTTTTTTAGTGAACCAGACCACGATCCAAATCACTGAGCCACCCCACCAGGATGAGTTCACCTCTTTTTAAAGTACACTTCTGTCTCTGAGGACGTTTTACCCACGTTTCTATTTCCCAATGTGCCTTGAACATTGATTGTCATCCTGGGCCATAGATGTGCGTTCAATTTAGATAGGTCTGAAGACCTGCCCTCCTCCCGGGCCAAAGGAAACGTCCTTGCCACGACCAGACTCAGCCAGAATACGTCCGGCCTGGTGGCGCCCGGCGACCGCTACGGACCCACTCGTCGTGACCAGCCCAGCCGGGGAAAACATGCCCGGGCCCGGGAGCAGCCCGCACACTGAATGGGAGCGCGCGCCTGACACTTTATTTTATATAAAATATAAAATAAAATAAAATAAAAAAAGAAACCCAGGCCTCCAGCCAAAGAACCTATGAGTGAGCCTTGCTGAAAAAAGCCCTTTCAGCCTCAGTCAAGCCTTATTCAGTCTTTCCTTTTTATATTTTCATTAATTTCAGAGAGGGAGAGGGATAGAAACAACAGTGATGAGAATCATCTGTCAGCTGCCTCCTACACTTTCAAATCTCCCGCACTCCCCGCCTCCTCGCGTTCAGGAAGGCGGGAAGGAAGCACAATGCCTTCCAAGTAACGGTCGCGAAAAGCCATAGGCAAGCGGTAGACATAGAGGAAAAAATCAGCAATTTGGAGGTAATCACTGAGCGGGTGGCGGAAAAAACGAACGATTTTAAGCCTCCCAGTTCCCGGTTTCCTTCCCCCTAACCTAGTCCCACATTTCTCAGATCAAGCACGTCACGTGGACGGCGCCACGCTCAGCCCCACCTCCTTACCCCCCCTCTCACCCACTCCCGGGCCCGCGCCCGGCCGCAGGGCCAGAAGCTAAGACCGCGCCGGGCTGCGCTCACGCACTGATGGAAAGAGTAGCCGTGCTCGCGGCTCTGCAGGGTATCCCGGGTGCTGCAACCCACAGCGGAGCAACTTCGGGTCATCTTCTCGCAACGTGGGGGTCCCACTTCCGGCGCCCCCCGGAACCGCGTGAGTCATGAGAAACTTAGCTCCACCCCCTTGAGGGTCTGCGCGACCTTTATTGGTCAGGAAGGCGGGCTTTTTCCGGCGCAAGACTGTTATCCCTCCTTCCTGTGGGCGCTACGCTAGACGCTTTGACCAATCACAGCGTATGTAGTGTCTCGGCAGCCAATCGGAAAGGTCAAGGGCACGAAGACGAGCACTTGGTCGCCCCGCCCTCTCGGGTCGAGGGTGGTCAGGGCGTTTTGGTGTAAGCGGCCTGTTTTTCTGTTGTCCTCACCTGCTGTGGTTCAATCCGGTGCCATCGCGCTTTTGGTGGGGCTCCCCCAGCGTTAGGGAGAATCCAGGGGCGCTGGGTCTCCAGCTGAAAAGAAATGGAAGATACGATGGGAAGGAGGGAGAGGAATAAACGCGTGTGCCCTAGAAATACTGAAGACAAATTGGGCCAAAAATAAGTTATTTAGAAAAGCATTTATTATTATTATTATTATTACTATTATTGTTTCTTTTTCTTTTGCGATGTAACTGGTTGCTTCCCTGAGGCGGAGATATTGCAGGAGCTGTTGGTGGGTTTGGGCGTCGGCATGTGACCCCGGAGGATCTGGAATGATTTGTGAGAAGGCGTCGACTCTGAATTCAACGGACGCTTTTCTGCAACACCCTTTGAAACAATGCGGGAATTAAAGAAATTAGGTAAGTTTTTTTTCAGTAGTACTAGGAGGGGCAGTGAAATGATTTTGTTGGAGGTGTGGGGACATATCCATGAGTTTTCAGGAGTGAGAAGATCTCAGGACGATGTCTGTTTACAGTATGGATTTCAATCTTTATATAAGAAACAAAATGGGACCAGTTAGGGTATGGTTTGAGTCTTTGAAACGATCTTTGAAGTAGTTTTCTTTTTCTCCCGCTTACTAGAAATGTTTGTAACTTCTTCATTCCCTTCTCTAGCTCGAAAGAACGATGACATTTCCAAGCAAGATTGCTTTTTCCCCGTTTACTTTGTCCAGATTCCAGACAAAAAGGCTCAGCTCAAGGTATTATGTATTCACAGCTATATCTACATAAACACTATGTTTATATCCTATTTGAGTGAAATCAACAGCTGTTGCTTACATAGCTTTCTTAAAAGTCACATTTGGGCTGAAACCGGTTTGGCTCAGTAGATAGAGAGTAGGACTGCGGACTGAAAGATCCCAGGTTCGATTCCAGTCAAGGGTTGCGGTCACGTCCCCAGTAGGGGGTGTGCAGGAGGCAGCTGATTGATGATTCTAACACTCTATCCCTCTCTCTTCCCCTCTGTAAAAAATCAGTAAAATATTTTTTAAAAGTTATAAAAAGTCACATTTGGGGAAAATTGATCCTTGGGGAATTAGCTTGCTTGGCTATGAGAATGTGCAAAGGGTAGGACCTGGATTTAAATCACATTCGGTCGTTTAGACTGTTAGAAACTTTTCACCAGTTAAAACCTGAATGAGGCTAAGTAGAAATAACAGTTTACAGTTGTTTTTAAGGGAAAAGTTGGTTGCCTTATTATCTATGTAACAGTTATATTGAGATATGTAATTCATATACCATACAATTAACCCACAAAAAATGTACAATTCAGTGTGTTTTAGTATTGGTATATTTGTGAGTTGTGCAACCATCACCACATTTGGAAACATTTTCATCACGACTCCCCCCCCCAAATTCATTCTTTTTAACAGTCCTTTACATTTTCTCTCCCCTGGTAACTATTACTCTTTTTGTCTGTGTAGATTTGCCTATTCTGGGCACTTCATATAAATGGAATCAAACTAATATATGGTCCTTGTGACTTCTGGCTTCTTCCACTTAGAATGTTTAAGGTTCATCCATATTGTATTACATATAGGTAGTTCAGACTGCAACCAAGATTTTTTATTGCCAAAGATCTTCTGTTGTATTTGCCACACTTATTTATCCATCAGTTGGAGAACATTTAGGTTTTTTACACGGGGGGGGGGGGGGGGGACGGACACTATTATGAATAATGTTGCTGTGAACTTTAGCATACAAGTAAGTTTGTGTGTAGACCCGTTTTTCTCTTGAGTCTATACCTAAGGGTGGAATTGCTGGGTCATACACTTAACTCTTTTTTTTTTTTTTTTTAATGTTTTTATTGATTTTAGAAAGAGGAAGGGAGAAAGAGAAACATTGTTTGCCTCCTGCATGCTCCCTTTGGGGTATTGAGGCCAAAAACTGGGCATGTGCCCTGCAACCTTTTGGTGCATGGGTTGACACTCGACCAGCTGAGCCACACCAGCCAGGGTGAAGTATGCTCACTCTTACGTTGAGCCTCTTGAGGAAAAACCAAACTGTATGTTGAGCCTCTTGAGGAAAAACCAAACTGTTTTATGAAAGGGCCTGCACTATTTTGCATTAGTAATGGGTGAAGGTTCAAGTTGCTCCACATTCTCATAGGAGTGAAGTGGTACCTCATAGTGGTGGTTGTCCAGCTTGTAAGGACTCAAAAGTTTGTAAAGAATCTGCTAGAAGGTGCTTCTTGAGTACAGAGACTATTTCCAAGGTGAATTTGTCTTTTCAGTCCCTCGAACACATTTAATGTCATATGTGTTCCTGAAAAACCCTTACGTTCAGAAAAGGGCATTTGAAAGCAGTAAGGCTTGTGGGGAAAAATAGGGTTGATTACTCAAAACCTGTGCAATTTGATAGTCTTGAAAATAAGCAGTGATTAGCTGGGAGGAAATACTCTTATGCCCTCCCACCCATTAACAGGTACAGGTAACTGTATATGGAGACTGTCATAGGGTTTAGTAAAAGAACAAGGCTGGTGGGTGCTAGATTTTACAGGTGGAAGGGGAGCTCTAGGCAAATGGGCTGCTGTTAGAATGGGGTCAGAAGTAGTGTAACCTGCTGAGGACCTAGGGGGAAGGACCCCTCGATAAAGGTACTCAGTTTTCTTTTTTTTATTTATTTCATTTTTCTTAAGATAGAGTTGAAAGTACCGCTGCCACCAACTGGTTGGCTTAGTGATTGTCAACCCATGAATCAGAAGGTCAAAGTTCACTCAGTATTGGTGCTGCCATTTCAGCATCGGAGTTCAGGAAAAAAATAAGACCTTTTTTCTGCTTAATTGGATTCCAGACATTAGGTTCTCCTAGGAAAGGTGAAACAATGTGGCTCGCACATTCTGATGCATTTTTCCTCTTTCAAATGATTTACTGAAAACTGCTAGATTGCAGAACAGGTTTACTTAAATGTTATAAATTGCTTAAATGAAAATAACTCCATACAAACTACAAGGGGTCACTGCCACAGGTATTATTAGTGTACTTCTGGATAGAGAAGTGTGTACACTCCTGAATGGATGTTTTTTTAGTTGAGTTGCATTAATTTTTCTTCACATTTATCACTTTTACATGCTTTTTGTTGCCTTTTTTTTTTTTTTAACTTAAAAACTATTTTTATTGATTTCAGAGGAAGGGAGAAGAGAGAGAAACATCAATGATTAGAAAGAATCATTGATCAGGGGAATTGAATTGTGACCACCTGGTTCATTGAGCCATGCCAGCCAGGCTTGTTGCTAATTTTTACTGTTTTACTGATAACATTAGGTTCTCATTTTGATCGTTTGATTATATGTTTGCTTCCTTCAATAACTTCATATCCGGTGATTAAACCTTTTCACTGCTGTTCACATAATGAACCGCTGTGATTATTGAAAATGTTAATGAGGATATGTAAACTGTATTAAAGATGCTATTTGAAAAAGGCTTTCGCTGTTATACAAAGTAATTTAAAAGAAAATATCTCTTTTCAGGAAGTCCATACTTGGAGATGTTGGAAAAAGGTTCCTGGGGCTTGGAAGATGACTTGAAATATGCAGGGGAAGTAGTGTACCTTTGTGTCTTACGTAGTAAGTATTCCCGTGAGTTAGAAAGGGAGGATTGTCCAAGTTAAAAATGGATTTATAAAGACTTTGGTGAAATCTAATTTCCTGTTTTATGGTATAGATCCTCATTAATTGTTCACTTGGGAAAAAATAACAGCTAATTCTGATTGAACAAGTATTGTGCTAAGCGTTTTTATTCACTCAGAGGTACAATGATTGCTTTTGAGCAGTATTTTTCACAATAATCCTTTGAGAGCAAGTAGATTTTTTGCTTTCTAGGACTGGTATCTTTCCTCATGAAACACCTACCCTTTTATTAGATTCTTAATTAGTTCTACTACAACCTTTATTTTGTTGTCCTGAAAATAAAGTATATTTCTAGTAACTGAATTATATTTTTCCTGGTTTTTTTATTCTTTTAGTTCTTTGGGGGGTTTTTTGTGTGTGTGTGTGTGGTTTTTTTTGTTTTGTTTGTTTGTTTGTTTGTTTGTTTTTGCTTCAAAAAACCTTGGGGTATTGAAATTATTGCTGATCAAATATAAAGACAATTCTGAATCTAGTTTTTCCCCTAAAATGTCAGACTTTTTCAGCTAATTCAGAAGTTGTACATTTTAATTTTTTTATATTAATTGTGACCCTTTGCATTACTTATGTATTGTTTTATAACAAATTACCCAAAACTTAGTAGTCTAAAATAACAAACACTTATGATGGAGGGAGCGGGGACATCAGCTTTCAAACTCTTTGATTTGGCATGCCTAAGTTTCTTCATGGCTGGCTGCCGATTGAAGATTTCAGTTACTTTTCATTATATGAATCTCTTCTTAGGCTGCCTGAGTTGTCCTTACACATGACAGCTTCCCCCAGAGGGAATGATACAAGAGAGAAAGGCCAAGGTGGGAGCTTATCTTTCAAAAGTTAATCTTGAAACTGATATAACGTCACTTCTGAATTTTCTATTGGTCAACCCAGCTGGCATGGCTCAGTGGTTGAGCACTGACCTATGAACCAGGAAGTCACAATTCAGTTCCTGGTCAGGGCACATGTCCAAGTTCTGGGCTTGATCCCCAGTGTTCGGCACGCAGGAGG